TGATCTACCAACTTAATCTCAACCTTAATAAAAGAAAGTTGTTGTAAAATTTAGTTCCTTCCCATGACATAAAAGTGTGCTGCCGTTTTTCCGACGAAATTTGTGAAAAAATGAAGATTTTGCTCTACCACTGAACCTCGAATTTAACCAAAGTGAAGTGGCATAAAATTTGGTTCCTTCCCATGAAATCAAAATGTTCTGGCGTTTTTCCCACGAAATTTATAAATAAATGAGGATGAATAAATGAAGATTTTGCTCTAGCACTTAACCTCCAATTTAATCAAAGAAAAATGCGATAAAATTTAGTTCCCTCCCGTGAAATCAAAATGTTTTGTCGATTTTCCCACGCAATTTATGAATAATTGAGGATGAATAAATGAAGTTTTTCTCTACCACTTATTAACCTACAATTTAATCAAAGAGAAATACAAAAAATTTAGTTCCTTCCAATGAAATGAAAGTGTCCTGTTCTTTGTCGAACGAAATTTGTGAATAAATGAAAATTTTGCTCTCCCACTTACCTAACCTCCAATATTCAAAGAAAAATGGCATAAAATTTAGTGCTCTCCCATGAAATCAAAATGTAATGCCAATTTTCCCGTGAAGAAAAGAGGATTTTGCTCTACCAACTTAATCATAAATAAGGATTTTGCTCTACCAACTTAATCTCGAGTTTAATTAAAGAAAGTTGGTGTAAAATTTAGTTCCTTCCCATGAAGTGAAAGTGTCCAGCCGTTTTTTCCGACGAAATTTGTGAATGAGTGAAGATTTTGCTCTACCACTTAACTTCCAATTTAATTTAAAAAATGCGATAAAATTTAGTTCCCTCCCATGAAATTAAAGTGTTATACCCCACAAAAATTGTGAAGAAATTCGGATTTCGCTCTACCAACTTGAGCTCGATCTTAACAGAAGAAAGCTAAGCTGTAATGCTCCCATTAAATCAAAATGTCATGCCGCCTCACGAAATTTGTGAATAAATAGGTTTTTGCTCAACCAACCTTAACGAAAGATGATGTAAAATGTAGTTCGTCTAAAAGCAAAGTGCGTTGTCGTTTCGACGAAATGTGCGAATAAATGAAAACAGTGTTCTAGGTTCTACGAACTTGACCTTGATCTTAAAGGTCGATTCTCACTTTCGTGCAAGGCACGTACTCGGCACAGGCAAGGCATCGACTCGGCAAAATATCTATATTATTGAATCTTATGAATTTTTTGGGGTGTAATTCACACTATGCGAGCAACGACTCGGCAAGCTACGGCTTTTGCACGCGGTGTTCTTCTGAAACAATATTTGCCGGGCATGTACCGTGCACGTTCCGACAAGTGTGAATACAATCTGTGCAGGTCACCGACTTTAGTTCAGTCTTCATAGTACAAGAAAGGTTGAAGGGTCAGCAAAGGAACACTTTTTCAGCGGAACAAGATGAGATGCTGATTGAATGTGTCCGAGAGAATGATTTCGGTCATAAAAGATACTTCTTATGCATTTTATATACACAAAAACGTATTTTTATTTTTCTGCAATATGTACTTTCTTGTTCTTAATCATCTAATATTAGACCTATTTTTATTAACGTGGAAGTTTCGAACATTTCCACAGTTGAAACTCACGTAGAAACTGCTTACCTGCGGCAAGCGTGTCGCAGTGTGAATTGAACTCAAAAAACTTTGCCCGTGCCGAGTATGTGCCGTGCCGTTGCCCGGCCGGTTCTTTGCACGAAAGTGAGAATCGGCCTTAATCATATCATAGGCAGGTGAAAGATGCACGTTTCTTTGAAACTGCGTAGCCCATTCCTGTAATATCATAATGTGGCAGATCCCGAATTTGTTATGGGACAATTAACATGATATTCAAGGTGTGATCTAAGCTGAATGAACGATGATTGACATTCAAAAACAGAAGGTGTAAGGTTGTGCGCAGTATTGTGCAGCACTGCACTCGTAAATAAACCACTGACTGGCGACTGCACCACAGCTATAGTAAGTAAGCTGTGACTGCACTGCACTTGTTTTGTTTGTTAAATTGAACTTGAACTTGTAAAATCAACGCGGTTCGTCTGATATCGTTCGAGATCGTTCAAACTAACCAATCGCAAAATTCGAAAAGCGACCAGTGACATGAGTTTTTTAAAGAAGGAGGATTAAAGAAGGATTGTTAGGCTGAGTATCCAAGTTTTCGACATCCATAGACCTGTGCGCAACGCAGCACTCGAAAATACGCCATTTTTTAGCGCATTTCCACAAAAATAAAAAAAAATGCGCTATTGTGGCCACTTTGTCCGTCCGTCTGTCTGCCCGTCCGTCCGCTACTTTTGCGACGCTACTAGTTCTTTATCTTAAGAGCTATTGTTCTACTTTTTTCGCTATTTGGTTCGTTATGGTGTCGAGTCTTGTACCAAGGAAGGAATGTTTTCTGCGTTTATTGCTAAAAAAGTTATTGTAAAAAAACCAACAAACCGTTTTTTACATCTTCCATAATTTTACACTTTTGCCGTTTATTAACCATCCTAGAGATCATTTAAAATTTTGTATTGTTGTCTGTCGTCTGTCTGTTGGTCTGTCCGTCTGTTCCTGTGCCTGTCTGTCTCTCTATCTGTCCGTGTGAACGACAATTTTGTTTAGAAATGTCCGATCGCTTTTACATCTCCGTTAGTGATGAACTGAATTGTATGAAATTCAATATGGGCATAGCCTTAGCCATATAATACGCAATGCCAAAAGTTGAGTCGAATCGATTCAAAATTCAGTGCCCTTTTCGCATCTCGACCATTTATAAACCGAATTGCAAACTTTTTTTCTTATAAAAGTATTTGAATGAAATTTGATACATAGGCACTTGAAATAAAGGAAAATCTAATTCCAGTTTCAAAATTTGGTTTTGCGCATGCGCAGTGCGAACTTTTTTATTTATGGAAGAATTTAAACGAAATTTGATACATAGGCACTTGGAATAAAGGAAAATCTAACGCCAGTTTCAAAATTTGGTTTTGCGCATGCGCAGTACCAACTTTTTTATTTATGGAAGAATTTAAATGAAATTTGATACATAGGCGCTTGGAATAAAGGAAAATCAAATGCCAGTTTCAAAATTTGTTTTTGCGCATGCACAGTGCCAACTTTTTTGTTTATGGAAGAATTTAAATGAAATGTGACACATAGGCACTTGGAATAAAGGAAAATCTAACGCCAGCTTCAAAATTTGGTTTTGCGCATGCGCAGTGTCAACTTTTTTTTATTTATGGAAGCATTTAAACTCGCATTTAAATGAAATTTGATACTTTGGCGCTTGGAACAAAGGAAAATCTAACATTAGTTTCAAAATTTAGGTTTGCGCATGCGCAGTTCCAGGTACCTACATAAACTCAATTTTTTACTAAAATTTGCATGGAACTGTAAAATGATTATGGGTACAAATAAGAAAGAAGAAATTTCTCAATTTTCCTCACACATACAGTCTTTTTCCTAGTCTTTTTCAGTCGTCAAAATTTTGTGAAGTTGTAGTTTAGTCTCGGGTTTAGCATATGGTTCGGCGGTTCTCATGTGTTACATACAAATCGAGATACAAATAAAGCAATCAATTTATGGAAACATTAGCATTAGAAATTCAATTAAGGAACAATGTAGTGTAGCTTCGTGATGTAAGTACAGTAGACTCCCGTTAATACGAACTCAACAAATTCCAGAGGGTTCATGTTTTCGAGATTGTTCACAGTATCGACGGCATATAAATTATTTATTTTTATAATATAACGGGCGATCAAAAATGAGTGGCGGTTGAGACGCCTTTGGAAGTTAAGTACGATTTCCCATGCAAACGAAAATTCCAAAGGTGACTTGACAGCAACTCATTTTTGATCGCATAGTACAGTATGTGCCATTTTGTAAATGATGAACATGAACACAAACACGTGCGTTTGCCTCTGGACTTCCTACAAAAATGCCTAATACACCGGTCTACAGCATTTTTGCGCATGGGACATATATACCTTATTTGTATTGCTTGTAATGTATATGTCGTAGTCTTTTAGTGAAATCAGTCATTTCACGAAACGCCTAGTCCGAGGCCTAGTCATTTAGTGAAACGCTGAAAATTTGTACGTGTGGGGTATTTTCCCTTCCCCTTCTAGATCGATAAGGATACCATTTATCGATCTCTAATGGGAAGGGAATCCAATCGCTTGGTCTTGGAAAGTAAACTGTTCCACAGTTTCATATAAATGACTAGACTTTTCATGAAATGTCCAATTTCATTAAACGGCTGCGACATATAGCCACAAATAAGAATTAGAACAAAAAAAGACTATGTATTTGTTTTTGTGCGAAAAAAATGCAAAAAACCAAAAAATAAAAATACCTATAAAATGTTACTTACATAGGCATGATTTATTATAAGGAAACGTTCCTACATTTATAATTTGTTTCTCTTAGAGTCTAAATGTTTAAAAATGGAACAGTTTTGCTGTTTTTGTCATGTTCAACTGAAGTTTTTCTCATCAACCCCCAAATATGATCGTCCATCATGCTTCCAGCTTACTGGCATTGGTAACGTGCCTAAATTCTATTATGTCTTGATGAAAGGGTTGTCCTTGTTATTCCGAATAAGCTCCCATATTATCCTTAAATTAATCTAAATGAGAATGTAACCTGTGCATCTTTAGAGACATTTTATACCAGATGATGCAAAACCAAAACCCGTCAGCTCGTCATAATTTTTACCTCTATGGTTACCCAGGAAACAGTGAACGGGAAACCATGGACTATTGCCTTAAAACTGTTCCAGGATTTTTTTTCTCTTTGCTAAGTAACCGCGGGAACACCCTCCATTTTTCTTTTTATTTGAGGAAAAACAAAGATTCCAGCTTTAATTTTCGCCCCTGAAAGCTTTCAATCAAATCGCTATAACTTTTATAAAAGCAAATATTTTCGATGTCTAATCGCACTTTTTATTTATTTTTGCTTATTATAGTCAGAATATATTATGTAAATCCCATGCGCAAAAAAAAATTATTTTTTTCTTGACCTGTGATATGCTCCTAAAACAGTTGCAAGCAAGTCTGAACCTGCAATATGTACTGTTCACATTCACATTACTGAGAGTATACGTTGTTCACACTACAGAGTAGTCAATAGGAATGTTTTGTTGTTTACATTATTGAACGTTCATATACGCCAATGTTCACAAAAACGCGAGTCTACTGTATTGCATAAAAATTCAAAGTGGGAAACTTTGTAAGTGTGCGAGAATAGCAATACCTCGGGCAATACTGATTTAGAATCACCATTTGCAATTAAGAATGATCTCAAATTATCTACTCGATTATCTACTTTCAATAAATAAGAAATAGACCACAAATAAACCCAAAAGTTGTTCACATCTATCAATAAAAAAACCTGGTTACTGTAGAAACGTACTTGGTGGCATAATGAAGGAACTCCATTTGCACAACGTTGATGAAACTTATATCCACAAGTTCGACAATGAAACCCTTGAAACAAAAGTCTCCGGCAACATTCACAAAATACTAAAGAAAAAAATGTTTTCCGCACAAAATTATGAGAAATACTTGTCGGTATTGGAAATTTATCTAATATTTTAACGGTAATTTCTTCACAATCTAATGTACTAATATCCACATCCCAATTCACCACAAAAGTACTATTTCCTAAGTATACACAGCACATTTCACAAAAAAGATTCCGAAGTTTCATTGCTTTAGCTAAGGCTTCCCGCAACGTAAGACCTTGACGCACTTGCACGCTAGTACGTTGCTGGTTGGGTAAATGAGCTCTTAAAAAAGTTTTAGGCCGTGTTAATGTATCGCATTGTGGTGGAGTATAAGTTTCATAATGGCTCAATTCGGGACTCTCCTGGCCATTTCGCAACTGTTCGTGTAACCTCCTTTCTTCCGCTTCCAATTGGTGCAACTTTGATGTTAAATCGTCGTATTCCTTCAAGTACATTGCAGGGGGATGTTGAAAGTCGGCGAATTTCGCATTTAATGCGTCGATATTTGCACGGGTTAAGCTGATTACATTTTCAATGTTTCTTAGCTCCTGTTGTATATCAAAATCGTCGCTGTCCGCCGACATTCTCGAATACGAGATATTTGAACTGGATAACACCGAAGGCAGCATGTTGCCATTCAATTCTTCTTCGCCCTTAATTAATTTATTAAAATTTTGTACAACAGCCATCGTATTGTATTTTTTCCATTTTCGTTTACTGTCATTTGAAAAGAGTCAAGACCGTGGTCAAGACAGCACAGGTTGTGGCTGCGTTACCGGCTACGGAAAAATAACTTAGGCGCCGCGCGATTTTGCTTTGTTTTAGTTTAGAAACGTTGTTTTTTTACTATATACTAGCGTCTGATGACATGATTAAACCTTTTTTCCACTTGCAAAGTTTCTATGCCAGCAGCCGCCAGTCTACATACCACCACAGATTTAAATAGTATATTTAAATCTGTGATACCACAATATGACTGCAACCTACTACCTGCAACTATTGCGCCATCTGTCGCACCTTATACCTCTCGGCGCAAGCGCCTCGAGATGTAATCTTGGTGCTCAACAATGAATAAAGGTGCTCAAGCAAGGCAATAATACTGGACTCCTTACCTTGATATATAATGCACTATTATTCATTTATCGTTATTCCACCTGTCTTATTGTAGCATCATGATTCCACCGATCGTTAGTACGTTGGGTAAAATCCCAGGAGGCGTGTTGGATAATGTGTCGTCAAATCGCCATAGATATACATTAATAATCTATTATCTATGTGTGTCGCTCTATATTTATAGTGACTCAGGGCCGTACCCAAGGGGGGGGGGGTTAGAGGGGTTGAAACCCCCTCCGAAATAATAAAGGGAAAGAAAATTATTAGTCGCAGCCAGCAGCCGACTACAGAAAATTCGTGGTTTGACTTCGGAAATGATAGCGAAAATCGGAGCGTGCATCATTTTCTATTTCTAGGTCGGACTGTACCTACCGTAACGTGCTTTTGTCCGTTGCTGTCGCAGCACCGCCAGCAGCCGAGTGACACCGGAAGTCTAGGCAGTCTTCGCAAATAAAAAAAGAAGACTGGATTTCGTTTTGTAAAATTTATGCTATTATACTCACTTTAATATGCCTAATACTCCTATAATAATATTACAAATAAATCATTTTACTCATTATTTATTTTTCTTCATTGTTTCTGTGTCACAACAAGGTCAACTATACCAAACTATGTCAACAAATGACTTCAGGTTATTTCTATCATTATACCCCTACAGTTATATTAAAGGTGAAAAACGTGCACAATTGGGGCTACTACACTGTACTTTATTTTTCTAATAACAACCCCCCTCGAAAAAATATTCTGGGTACGGCCCTGTAGTGACTTTATGTGTCGCCCAAGATAATACTACTACACTTAATAGACACCGTCTGTATAAATTTTAAACGCTCAATTTTGACCGTGGGATATGTCGACTCCGCGGAAAATGTTTTTGCCCCAATAGTAGCGATTATTCACTGCATTTTGCAGACAATATTCGAACAATGGCTCTTTATATTGTGTGTTAGTCAAGCGCGGCCTTGTGTAGGCGTATATCGCATTCTTTCACCTTTCTTTTTCTGCTCTAATTTAAATTAATAATATATTCTACACTGACCAGTTATAGAAAAATCTGCCGTATTTCTTGAATGGAAGGTACCTTCAGTTTCAGCCTGACAATGTACCTGTTCCTGTTTACAATTACATAATTTTGACATATCCAAAAAACGGCTATCGCAATAACTACTAGCTCGTGCTAGGAAGTTAAAAAAGATTTTCACAGTCTTACATCTTTTATGCCCAATGTAGACTACCAAAATTTTAACGAAATAAAAATAACCGTTTTGCCGAAAAAAAAATATTTTAGCTTTTTGTCTTAGACACTTTTTTCTCAGTTTTTTATCATAAAACCTGACAAGAAGGTCGATTTGGAAGAATTTAATAAAAATAAGTTATTAAAAAAAATTCGATGCCGTTATTTTAAAGATCCGATCCGAGCATAGGCAATTAACATGGGATAAATGTTTTTTTGTAGATTGTGCTCCTCATGTTAACTTATAGGGCTTGTAATGAGACGAGACACCAATCGAAAGAAATATTGTTTTCTCATCTAATCACATACGAATTAGTTAATTTTCGGTTGCATTTCCCATTATTTTATAAAAAATTTGGAAACAAGTGCAATTATCAAAATCATGTAAGCCATGACTATTAGCACTATTAGTAAGACAAAGCAAAGCAGATTCAAATGTTATTCAATTCTTTAGAAAATTTCCAATTGAGTCATGGCTTAACATGATTTTGCTAATTGCTAATTATGTTGAATTTTTTATGAAATTATGAGAAATACATCAGCAAATGAACAAATTCGCATATCATTAGATGAGAAAAAAATCTTCTTTCGATTGCATCGGGTCATCATAAACCCTGGGAAGTCGGAAGTTAACCTACATGTGAAGCAACAATCTGCAAAAAACATTTAAATTTTTTAACATGTTAATTATGTTATTATTATTATTTATTATGTTCGGTTTTGAAATATTCACCAGGTATGTGCCTGAATTCAAAATTTAAGCGCCGGCGTGATTAGTTTCTCTGGAAAATATAAATTCGAAAAACGGTCAAATTTTGAGAAGAAAAGGTTATAATAGCGAAATGGGTAAAGTTAAGGGTATACTATGTTACCTAGGTACATAAAAAATAAAAAAGTACTCTATAGTACTTTTGAATTTCTCAAAATATGGAGTGTGTTCCATTTTAAAAAAAAAACGGATGTTTGATACGCTAGAGAAATACAGCACGCCACTGGTGACCAGAAATATTTCAGAAACACTTTTGCTCCTCCATTTTTTTCCGATATCTTTTATGGTAAAGGCATTACCATTGCGATCCGAGGGGGATGTTACACCCTGTATAAAGTACCTACATATTATACAAAGGGTAGTTGCTTACTTACAAATCTTTGCTTACATAACTTACAAGGAAAAACATGCACTAAATTTGTTGAATTCGTAACTGTGATTTAACATATTCGCAACGTGGCGGAAATTCTCAGAGACGCCTACACAGACATTTGCTTTACCTTTAAATGTAATTTAATCTATGTAAATACGTAAAGGAATGTGGGGTAGGTCAAGGAAGAGATAAAGAGAAAAACTGTTTTTTTCGTTTTTTATTCTTAATTTTGCGAAAAAAATGTCGTAGGGGTTTTAAATTTGGAGGAAACATAGCTTGTTTCATGATAAAAAAGAAGATATATATAGATATAATTTTAGGCCTGTAAAGTTGAACCGTTTCCAAGATCTCACGATTCCTGAAAAAACCACCTCTTTTTCAAGGGGATGGAAAATCTATTTTTTTTCATCGTACAGAGGTGAGCGAGGTAGCAAAATTTTCGTAACGACTTACATTTTAATAATCAAAAATAAAAAATATTATTCCAATAGAAAAATTTAAAGAAAAGCGGCAAAAACGTGGGGAACAGTTTTAAGATATACCGTTTTTGACAGTAGATAAATAGCTTTTTTTGCAAATAAATTAACGTATTGGATCCGCGCTAATAAAAAGTTTTTGAAATCTGTCTTCTCTCTCCTCTTTAATGTTGCTAAAATATTTTCTTTTGTTTCCTAGTGTCCAACTGCCTTAATTACACAACTTTTGCATTTTTACCGCAATAAAAGCAATTTGAAGTAAAATCGAATTCTTCTGCTTCCTGAACAATTTGTTTTTGTTCACTAACTCTTCTTCCTGCCTGTTTTACAGCTGATGGGATTAAGCTGGGCCTGTTGATCGTTAATTTATAGGAATTATGAATAAAATCCTCATAAAGTTTATTCCAGCTTTTACATCTTAAATCATTTGCTTTAGCCGGTAAAACTAACGTTCTTATTGCAGATTTTGCAAGCTTATCAACAGGCCCAACGCAATTGCATCAAAATAAAAAGGCAGGAAGAAGAGTCAGTGAACAAAAAGAAATTGTTTAGAAATCAGGAAGTAAGATAATCCGATTTTATTTCGAATTGCTTTTATTGCGGTAAAAATGCAAAAAAAGAAATAATAAAGATATGATTTAACTAAAACAGTTGAACATAAGATAACAAAAGAGAATATTTAAGCAAACGTTAAAGAAAAGCAAGAAGACACAGGGACGGACCTAGACAAGAAAATTGGGGGGGCAGACATGACATTTTGCCAACTCACCTGTTAAAATTTCCAACTCAAACGGGTAGTATCTATTTAAGTATTAAGTGGTATTTCCAAGTCTAATAAATCATGTAGAAAATGTAGGATATCAGTATACGGTCTCTAATGCCCGTTTGCACCGACAAATTTAAGCGGCGCTTAGCTTAAGCGTAGCTTAAAATCCATGGCAACCATTGTCTCAATAATCGTTGTCATGGATTTTAAGCTACGCTTAAGCTAAGCTCCACTTAATTTTGTCGGTGCAAACGGGCATAATACTAATTAAAAGCATTACCAAAATACCAAGCTTGTGTTGAAGAAGGAAGTGACTTTCCTATTAAAGAGTCTTTTTTTATAGATTTTGCCGCAATTCCTCATTCCTTCAATGGTCGATTTATTACATTTACGATTTAACCTACTTTCGCGGCATTCGCCAACTGGTAGATAATGAAAATTACCAACTCTTGTCAAAATTGCCAACTAGTTGACTATTGGAGGGGCAGCCTGCCCCCCCATAGGTCCGTTGCTGAGAAGACATATCATGTCAAAAACAGTGTAACTGTTTTCCCAGTTTTTGGCGATTTTCTCGAATTTTTGCTATAGGAATAATATTTTTTTATTTTTGTTTATTAAAATATAAGCCTTCCCGAAAATTTTGCTACCCCGCACACCTCTGTACGATCATTGAATAATAAATTATGCAATGGTACGATGAAAAAAAAATAGATTTTTCATCCTCTTGAAAAAGAGGTTTTTTTCAGAAATCGTAAGATCTTGGAAACACGGAGAAAAATAAGTTGGTTCTCTTAGCAGTTTCTATTTTGCTATCATTATTTTTGCTCTGATGAAAAAATCTTTTAGTAGAATGTCTTTTATGTTTGTCTCAGAAGCGAAAACGAATTTGTTGGAAGTGACAAAAATTTTAGTACACAAAGATTAGCTGAGACAACAAGGTATCCTAGTAGTAATTACAAATGAAAATTTCGCTGTCTCAGCTGTTCCTCGCGTAGCAATCTGTTTTGCACCCAGATGCAAATGGTTTGCTGAGCCGACAAAGTATGTTAGCTATAGAATTACATACGTAGGTATGAGTCAACGGTCAGCAGAGAAATAAAACCAATTTCCGCAGCCCACTGCCTAAGTAGAAGTACAAGCGAAGCAGTAAGTTTCGGTTTCATTTATCATTTTAATTTTACGCGTAAGTGTTCTGTACCTTGAGCAAATTAGCGGAAATGTCGGAATCAGAATTGCAGTGTGTGAGTGTGGAAAGTGTTTCTGGTGATACATCGACGGTCTACTAAAATGTTGGGGGCTAGAAATGTTGAGTAGCGTCTTCAAAGGTAAGTCGAAAAAATGTGTCTTTACTTTCTGTAAATGTATAAAGTATAAAATACCGCCGGCTAAGCGTCGAAATCTAACGATTGCCTCAAAATGGCGACAAAAAAGACCCAGATGTGATAATCGAACACGAGCTGAAGGTTGATTTTACTAAGAGGTGTGTATAACGAAGACATAGGTAAATCTGTTTATACTACATGCGTATTTTGCAGTATACCGACAGCTCGGCTTGACAGTTTGGCGGTCATCGTCCAGCGTATGTTCCCAACAGAAACCAAAGTATGTCCGTTTATAGTTGTAGAGAATTGCATTTTTAATTAAATGTTTCCAGGATTGTTATTTTACCATAGTAAACGAACAGGGCAAGAAATCAGAGAGAGGTAAATTATTTACTAAATATTATAATTTGAGAAGACGATTTACTAGTATTCGATTGATTAATAAAAAAAACTAAAAGTACAGCTACAGTTCATGGTTCAAATAAAGGTGAGAATGTTACTTCCACAAACATTACATTACTTTTAAAAACAATGAGTATAATGAAGATGTGTAAATTTGTAGAGATTGGTGAAGAGAAGAGTGAAATTGTCAAGTGGCTGGAGAACAATGTATCTCCATGGACGTCTGTCATTAACCATTGGACTGAGACCTTTCATACACGAAGGAATTTATTTTTGGAATTACCAGATCTCTGTGGCTACAAAGACAATTTTTGCCAGACCGCACACAATTTAGCTGCTAGTGCAAGTTTCGTCTATTATAGGATAATAACGCTCTTAGCAGCTGCAGCTAAAATAATTTGCTTAGAGAGCAAAGAGATTCAGTGACCGGTACTTCAATATGTTAGTAGTGGCTACAAATGGGACTGGTTCTATTGCAAATTTCATCGATTATTGGATACTAAATTTACTGGCAGCCGCAGCTAAAGTTATTTGTTACGAAATCAAAATAGTTTAGTAACAGGTACTTTCAGATTTTAGTAGGAAAAGCAAAACGTATTTAGTTACATCAACTAAAAATAGGTAGCATTTTTTCTTTGCTCTTGCTGCAAAACTTTTAGCAGTCCATATAGGTGCAAAGAAAATTAGCTGCATATACTTATTTTTTTGTTCTTATGACAAATCATTTTTCTCCGTGAACGGTTCAAATTTATGGGCCCAAAAATTTCTTCTTTTTTATCATAAAACAAGCTGTTTCCTCCAAATTTCAAACCCCTACGACATTTTTTTCGCAGAAATAGGAATAAAAAACCAAAAAAAACAGTTTTTTTCGGTTTTTCTAGGAAAATTGGAGGTTATGTGAAAATAGTGCAGATTAAAAAGGTGCTAATTGTTTTAATCTCTATAATTTTACATTTAACATTTTCGTCTCAAATTAATAGTTTTGCCAACAATTTGCAAAACACCACTTTCCACCCCTTTCAACCCCCGGGATTTCACCCGCGTGGAAAAATTCAGCTGTTTTAATTATTTTTTCCCAATTTAAATCATTTCACCTGCCTAAAAAGCCCGGTTCGCCGGGTAACTAATTTTTTTTGTAAAAAATATATAGCTTGGACTAGATGTAGGTATATTGTCATTTGTTTAAATAATTTAAACAATGCTATTGTATTGGGTAAAAAATGACCCCCCCCCCCCCCACTTTTTTTTACGGAAATTTTTTTAATTTTGAAGCACAGGAAGGCGAATCAAACAAACCTTCAATGATTTCAGCCTGTCTGTCCACCTGTACTCTCATTTCTGGCTAAACGGCTCAACCTATTGGAACCAAATTTGGTAGACATATTCTTAGATATAAAAATTAAAAGGCAGAGCCGAAAGAAATGCAAAAGATTGCTTCATTCATTCAAATTTTAAGCAGAACCATTCGCTAGTATTATAGTATTGAGCATTGCAAACCGTTATTTATTAGAGATAAAATTATGACAGTTTTCTCGGCATTCATATACAAGTGTATATATTGCACACTTATACAAAATTACATACGTTTAAGAAAAATTCGTATTTCAATAAAGGTATGTCAACAAGGTACGCTGATAAATTCGACACACCATGTCATCGCACTGCTCATTTTGAAAAAAACCCTATATACATATGCACCCAAACATTTAATCACATGCCGGATTGAGATTGAAGAAAAACGAAGATATGAGCGTATACAAAATAAGAATAAAAGCATACTTTCACGCATTGCCTTTATATTTATTTAACGAGCTCTTCAACTTTAAGCTTTCCGTTTAAGCTACCTAAGTAAAAATTTAAAAAAAATTTATACTTAGTTAAGCTAGAACGTAGATCAACATTGACATGTTCTATAATGGGAAACCATTCAAAAGAATAAAGACGGATTATTATTATTATTATTGCGCGATGCCAACTATCTTATTTATGGAGAAATTTCTTTGAAATTTTAATCTTTGCTACTAGTAAAGAAAAACATAGCTCACATAGCTGTGGCTCTTTGGGAAGTATTGATCAAAGCATGGAAAATGAGTAAGGTTCACGCCTTAGGGTGAAAACTTTTTTCATTTTTTATTAGTCTTTGGTACCAGGAATTCTAAGTAAAGAATGTATATAACAGAACATATAGATTTATTTTTATTATGTACATAAATATAATTTCAGAATATTTCCTCGAGTACCATAGTATACATACTTATTTACCCACACTTTTATCACTTACTGTATGTTGAACATATTTTTGATTGAAGCGAAATTAATCACTCTATAGGTAATCAAGTAAAATAAGGTAGGTATCCAGTTGGTTGAATAATATTACTGCATAATTCAACCAAAAGGAACATTTCGGAATCATCAGATATAGATACATATCAATCCACGTTAAGACTAGATTTAGGAACAAGTTGAGTTTATTTCATTTAGATCATATCATATACTGTGTCCAACAAAAACAGAACCAGTAACGTTTATGAATTTTTGGAGTACATTGCGATCGAATTTGATATGCTGCCTTAATAAATGTAGTATTATAAACGGATATTGCTTAAATTTGCATGCAATTTGTTTAATGTTTCACTGTACAAAACGTACGGTATGATTACGAATGAAACACTAGGTATATAGTATTTGTTACATCAGAAGATATTCAATAAAACCTTAGTTATTCATATAAAATATCACATTTTTCATTTGTTTCTTCTTTCTTTATTTAAATTTGTCTTGTAGTTTTTGTCAATTATATAGCTGACACATTTATTGTCTGATATCTATAACTTTATTTAATCGTTATTAATATGGTAATTACAATGCATGTTCGTTTACAGTGAAAAAACAAAACTGCAAATTTTTAACAGTTTAGAACCAATCCAAACACACATTTTAGTGGCGGGGGTGTACTGACTGCACAAATGAACAGTGTACGATCACTTTTTGTTATAGTACAGGAGATATCTTGAAATCCACTGAACGAGAGTGATCAAAATTTTAACTGATGGAGTTTCTACTTTGGCCTATCCGAGTATGCTAAAATCGACCGTCTGCCGCCTCAGATCATATAACTAAGGCGCTGATGCGGTACTTCTTGCGGTACCAATTTTAAATGGTTGTTTTTTGGGAAAGTAAGTTATACACCAAATGAAAACTGCTAACTGAAGGATCTACATGTGACTGTGAGAGATTGCAGTGTATTTTGTACATGTATTGCAGGAGTAAAACACTACTCAGTAACTACCATTTGTGCTACACTTCATCTTGTAACGGGTGTCCCAAAATTAACGCAAGATTTGAATTTGCCGTCATTTGTGCGGTGAAGTGTTGGCAACCCTGAAAAAAAAGCAATTTGACAGCTAACAGTATAGGGTTATTAAAAATGGAGCGTTACACGATAGAACAACGTGTCTTCATTATTAAAGAATATTTCAAAAATAGTGAAAGCTTGGCGGCTGCAGTTCGAAAATTTCATACAAAATATGGTCGGAATAGTGTTCACATTCGAACGGCTTGTTTTTGGACGACCAGTGTGTTTACTATCTCCAACGGATCCAGTCTCCATGAATTTTTCAATTAATCTCTTCACAGTTGACTATTTTTGAAATATTCTTTAATAATGAAGACACGTTGTTCTATCGTGTAACGCTCCATTTTTAATAACCCTATACTGTTAGCTGTCAAATTGCTTTTTTTTCAGGGTTGCCAACACTTCACCGCACAAATGGCGGCAAATTCAAATCTTGCGTTAATTTTGGGACACCCGTTACTATATCTTTATCATACAATCACTTTTGTGGATAGGTTCCATTGCTCATCTTTATAAATCCAACAAGAACAGTTAAAACACATATTGTTACTGTGAGCAGTGACTTAGGTAGTAAAGTACAACACTATGAGATCACCACTTAAATATTCTTACCATTGATTCTACTAATTTTAGTTTTACCAATGTTATCAAAAAATAATAAACCTGCAGCTCGTTCAATACTGTCAGGTGGAACCTGTAACAATATGTCTAGATTAAGCAGCGTAGAACATCTTATCACCTGAAAACTAGCAAGGGGTATTGCATCGTCTATTGCTTGATTAGGCATTACATAAGCCTCTAACTCTAGAATGCCATTTGTTGTTTCAAATAGAATAACTTTAAAGAAATGAGTGGGTACAGCCACATTATTGGCACCTATGACTTCATACTTAACGTATTTCTTTCCATCGGATTCTTTACTAAAATTTCCCATTTAATTACTTTACAAATAATTTAAAAGTATTCTAATACCGAGGTAAGTATAAAGGTCCAGTACAGCAATAAACATTGTTATTCACTTTGGCTTTCTTTCTGACGTACTTCTCCAACCTGTTCCATGAATGCCTGTTAAAACCCACTCCAACTTGAGGTGCCATATTAGACAACAGGAATGTTTGCTCTACATACTTTTGACTTGCTTTATGATTACCCGCTGCTGCTAAATGACCACGATCATATCCAGATCCTTTGTAATCAGTGTTTTCCGATCTAAATTACATAATTCATTGCTTTCATATATTAATTACTTGCCTCACCTAAAATAATGATGTATACTTTTATCTGCTTGAAACTCACATAATGCTCTATCGACGCCTTCATTAAATTTCATATTTTCTTTAGTTAAGTGTTCAAATACCCAATGGGCAACACGAGTTTTACGATCGTAACTCAAAATAAAATTATCAAATGATCTAATATTGTCTAAACCAGGAAAACCATATTTCATAATTTCCGATATGCGGTTGGCATTGTTACTTCCCAATGTTGCAGGTGTTAGAGGTGTTGCTGCAAATACATTTGAAAATATCGCAGGGGATCTCAAATATCTCGATTCTGTTGATATTTGTTTGCTTCTTTCATAATAAGTACCGAGAAAATAACCTGAACAGCCAATTGATATAACAGTAGCATATTTGGAGAGTCGGGCTGACCACATTCTAAAATTTTTCATTTTTTTCAATTTAACTGTTTCTAGGTTAGATTTTATGGTTATGAGCACGAGCTGCATTCAACGGAAAATATGCCGAAGTATAGCGTGTAACCTATACATACAGTGAATTTTTTTTAAATGCGAACATAGGAGTTTGCATGCAATGTAATTTCCCTATGTTCGATTTTAAAAAAAACACATCAATCTATGAGGTGTGCGCGGTTCACATTCCCAAATCGTGCAACTTGTGTGACTATGAACAGCAACTGATAGTCTTTATGATGAAGAGCACTCGGTAAGATTTTTTTTAAATAAGCCGTGTGAGGCCATAGCAACTTTAGGATAAATTTACGATAACTTACGATAACTTGACCTCACAGGCCACGCGCTGTCACCACAATTCATTGTGAACCAACCTTCAATTATTTGTAAGTCATGTGCACCTGGTATTCTACTAATTTGATTTATTAAATACATAAATGAAGAAAATAAGAAAATAAATAACAAAAACAATTACAACAAATGTTCGAACTGGCCTCCATGACATTCTAAGCAATAACCTAACCGATTTCGTAATTAAATTGGACGGCGGTATTTTAAAAAATGTGACAGCTGTCAATTGTATCTACTACTCATTTGAACTACTCAATAGATTGATGTGTTTTTTTTTAAATCGAACATAGGGAAATTACATTGCATGCAAACTCCTATGTTCGCATTTAAAAAAAATTCACTGTATATGGTGTAACCACAACCATTGATTATATACAGTGTATATAATCAATGCCACAATCATCTATATTTACAAGCCGTGCTGAGAATTATGGCAACACTGCAGGTAGGGCCGATTTCCGAATTCAACTTGGTAAATTTCAGGTGTATTTTGGGTGTAATAATCCTATTTACCCGTTTTACCAGAGTGAATTTGCGACGATTTGCGTTACTCCGTATTGAATCAACAGAAATTATTAATCAGGTAAGTTGCTAAACGAAATAAGTACCGTAAAACGGGGTGAATTTTGATTCGTGTGGTCAGTGGTGACTTTGATCACCTCAGCGCTTAAGCGTGTACTGCGCCCTCTAACGCAGAGTGTAGTATGAAGATATTTTCAAATTCTAGAAAGAAACCTCTTTTAATTGTGGGTTTCTACTACATGACACCTATTAGAGAAATCTGTATCGCACCGTGGCAAACTTAAATTTCGTTTCCCTCCAAATTGTGAATCTAGAGAAAATGTCGGTTTCTGATGATGAACAAGAATGTGCTTTCCAATACTTACTCATCCAAGACTACATAATGTATCGATCAAGAATCGATTTCAAAAATGAAGTTTGGGTGAATAGGTATCCCAATGGCGACTAACATGCGTCGTGGGGTCACTTTGAACACGAAAATATGTATGATCATTGTATTTTCCGTTGTGGAGTGTTATGGTTGTGCAATTGTGAATAGACAGCGTTTCTTTATGTAAAGTCATTCAATTCATGTTTTTTTATCTCTTTATTTGTAAGTTTGTAAGCATAAAAGAGGCTTTTAACTTATCTTTGAAATATTTTTTATATCCACTTGTGTTTTTTTTAATAAATACATACAATTATTGGACTTATTTCTTGTTTGTGAGCAAGAATTTAACAAAAAATGATTTTAAATATTGTGCAAGGCCTAATATCGTTGAGTGAAGATTTAATTACTCAATGCTAATATACACTTTTATTGCCATTATGAGGGGTTTACTTTATTTTATGCATTAAAACAGATGGGTGTTCAAAGTAACCCCACTCGCAGTATAACTTTGAACACGCCATTTTTTTTGAGGCCAGATTAGATTAGAAAATGTGACCCATTCGTCATTCGGTAGATCAATAGGATGTGACGTGATTTTTCTTATATTTATTCTGCAGAATTGTTAGAAACAGAGCAAGTTGAAGTTGAAAAGTGTTCCCCGTTTTACGGTATATCTAAAGTAGGTTACTCTTTACTCATTACTGGATACTTTACAAGTACCTACTTGTACCTATTTATTCAAGTACATGTACAAGCTCAAATATGACCTACGCACTACGTGGTCGCCCGGTTTCGCCGAAAAACACCCCAAGTACAAGTCAGTCCCTATGAAAATTGGTAGCGAAACTGAAGCGACAGCAGCATTTTTGTAGTGACAACGGACAACGTTGCCAAACTTTGCAGCATGGCTTGGCTTGTAATTATAGACGGCTGTGCGCGAAAGTGAACGACAAGTGAAGTGCCTGTGACAGGTGACGCAAGTTACAGATGACATTCTCCTGCAATATTGCCAAGTCGTGTGTCATCTGAATTGTTCTAGTAGGTTAGTAGCTGATAGGTCGGGCATTGTGCAGTTTATGTTTGTTGTTATTTTTGTGTTATTTATTGCAGGTAGTAATCTTTTTTTATAATTTGTGTATATTTTGTATACAACTTTTTATATTTTTTATAATTTTCCATCTTTGTTTTTGAAATTGACTTGATTCAATGCAATGTTGTTTGAAATCGCGTTCATCTTTGTTGTAAATGATTGCTAAATTTTTGTTTCCGTTTTGATTACATGGCCTTAGCCCCAAGGTAAATTTATCTGTGTGGTGATTCATTTAAATTTGTGAAACTTATTGAATTGTTTAGATCGAAATGAAAATAATCTTTGTTTATTTCATGCGTATTATTACTATGGTGCATTAAGAGATTTTGTAGATAATTTAATAAGCTATCATATGGTATAATAATATACAGTGTGTTCCATATAAAAAAGTCACATTTTTAAAATTCTCTGAAAAATGCGGGGTACCGTATATACTTCTGGATAATCTACGAAGCGTAGTATATGACTAAATTAATTGGTAAAGTGGTAATAGACCGAATGTGCTCTTTGGTTTACACTTTGGGTACTTTTTCCATAAACGACAGTCGACTATAAGTTTTTTCTTTACGTATATCTGTGGTTTTAGTCACCTGTTTTAAAATGCCTCGCAAGGTATATGTAAATGGCGCGCGCTAAACAAAAATGCGCTATTGTGGCCACTTTGTCCGTCCGTCCGTCCACTCGTGCGTTGAGACGCTACTAGTTCCTTATCTTAAGAGCTATTGTTCTACTTTTTTCGCTATTTGGTTCGTTATGGTGTCGATGCTTGCACCAAGGAAGGAATTTTTTCTACGTTTATTGCTAAAAAAGTTATTGTAAAAAAAACAAAAAACCGTTTTTTACATGTTCCATAATTTTACACTTTTGCGGTTTATTAACGATCCTAGAGATCGTTTATGATTTTGTATTGCTGTCTGTCTGTTGGTCTGTCCGTCTGTTCCTTTGTCTGTTTGTCCCTCTATCTGTCCGTGTGAACGATAACAAAATTTGTTTTTGCGCATGCGCAGTGCCAACTTTTTTATTTATGGAAGCATTTAAACGAAATTTGATACATACGTTACATCCTTTCAATTGTGCAAATGCACGAGCATAGGCGCTTGGAATAAAGGAAAATCTAACGCCAGTTTCAAAATTTGTTTTTGCGCATGCACAGTGCGAACTTTTGTATTTACCGAAGGATTTAAACGAAATTTGATACATAGGCACTTGGAGTAAAGAGAAATCAAACGCCAGTTTCAAAATTTGTTTTTGCGAATGCGCAGTGCCAACTTTTTTATTTATGGAAGCATTTAAACGAAATTTGATATATAGCCACTTGGAACAAAGGAAAATGTAACGTTAGTTTCAAATTTTAGGTTTGCGCATGCGCAGTGTCAACTTTCTTATTTATGAAAGCATTGAAATGAAATTCTCCTTATAAAATGAAAATGAAGTAGCACGTCAAAAATAGATTGCACCTATGCAACGCTATCTTTAATGTTTGTGGCCGGATTTTTACGATTTTAACAGAAGTTGCATCTTACAAATGGGAAATGAATGCAAGTGGAAATGCGCTTTCTGTAAATGGTTTACGATTACTTTTTAACTTGTTAAATATCTCTGTACAATTTTGTGTTATAATTTTAAAATAATCAAATTTTTGGTAAATAAATATAAAAAATGAATTATTCATTCTTATCTAAAAATATGCTGCAAAAAATTAAATTCTGTATTCCGGCATATTTGCGTACCGCACAGGGGTTGTGTGATAAGTAATAGAGTAATAGTCCATAGGTTTTTGATCCTAGAAGAAGGGGATTCAAACTAGCTATATTCAAGGGTTGTCCTACACAAATTATTTTAAGCCAGCGAGCAATTTTGTAGTTTTGAGGTAGGCAATCCTATTTTTACCAAGTACAGTATTTGATGACTTACCTTATTTAATGCATAGTGCTTATCTCTAAACCTCTCATTAAAATCCATTTCAGCTACAATGATACATCGCTAAACCTTGGTACACTTTCCGCCCATGATCTTTTCGTGAACGCTGTCTGTGCGGTCATACCTCAAAATGGATGTACAGAGTGCAATTCGTTCTTAGTTTTTCGATATTTTATTTTTATTTCATTGTGCTAGGGGTGATAAACTTCAATTCACCCCCAACGTTGCTTCTTAAAAACACCACCCCTCCAGTAATCTTTCACATGTTACGCCACTGCTATGGTTAGGATAACCATAAAACTAATTTTTATTTTATTCAAACACGGTTTCTTGCTGATTGTGGTATCTTTTGTTCAGTGTATCCAGTGTAAATGTTCAGTTAGCACAGAAAATTTTGATTTTAGGTTCTCCGCTTAGAGTAGGTTAGGTAGTTAAAATGTCTGGATTAGTAAGGGGAAAGTTAGCTTTCGTAACAGGTGAGGTATGAATTATTTTAAGATGTCTAGAAAAAAACTATACTTAGACTCAGTAATAAAAAAAGGTTCTATAATTATAAACATTTTGGTAGTTAATAATAAGTAAACAATGATGCCTACCAGGTCTGATAATATACGTCACGTACACTCATTTGTAACAGTGGCGTGCAGGCGTTGACTGTGGTTTTATTTTTCTAGTATGAACGTAAGATAGGGATAGGGATTTTTCTTATTTTGAATGGCGTGATTGCGGTGAACTAATTGCGACCCCTTTTTTTTGTTGAACAAACTCTTCTAAGAACTCGTTGAACTAACTGAAAACTGGGTGAACGTTTCGATCGAATTGACTATGTTAGAAATAAATAAATGAATTTTTTTATGGATAGATGCCGACGTAAGTTGAAAGTGTGGATCTGGGACCCTTAGATCATCACAACGCTAGTAGGTACTCCAGTACTGGTGCATACTTAATATGTACTTATGGTGTTTTTTAATAAAAGCACTAGTAAATATTTTATGTCCAAAATGTTTCCATAAAATTGATATTTACAAAGATGTTGTAACGTAAATTTAATTACGTCGTTTATTTATAACAATTAATTAACAATAAATTTATAACAAACTTGACCTTCATCTTTGAATAATTATATTCAAAGCCTTTATTAAGTTATAACAGAATTATAATTTATCACTCACAATTTACATATATATCATAAGAAGAATGCATGGAAGTCTGAACTGAAGTCGAATCACAATTCGATTTGCTTATATACTAAACAACATTCTTTAAAAAATGTTCTTACAATGTTCTCGAGTTCTCAAGGTCGTTTCAGAATATTCTGGCTCAAACACGTAATATTTCTATAAAAGAATTACGTCGCATCCACCTTCGTTCCTTGGCGCCTCGCTGTCTATAGAAATTACTGGAATAATATATACGATAATTCATTCTTCATTTTTGAGAAGAAAAACTGTAGAATTGTATTGAAATTCATATTTTTACAGGCGCTGGCTCAGGAATTGGTCGAGCAACATGTCAAGTCTTAGCTCGAGAAGGTGCACAAGTAGTGGCCGTTGATCGAAATTTAAAATCTGTAGAGGATACAATTGGTACATTGCAAACATCAAACAGCAATGGGGGTAGCCCTCATAGTAGCCATTTGGTGGATGTGTCCAATTGTAATAGCATTAAGAGTTCGTTGAAGCAAATTTTAGAAAAATATAAAAAGCCGCCATCTATTGTGGTGAACTGTGCTGGTATAACACGAGATAATTTTATATTAAAGTTATCTGAGGAAGATTTTGAAGATGTTATCAATGTTAACTTAAAGGTTCGAAAATATGCACGTATACCATTTGTAACGCATTATGCCATCTTTACTTCCAAGCTGTGCTGTAGAGTTTGCTGCGTTGCACGTTAGTAGTAAAGTCGCACATTATCATTTTTATGTCTATAAGCATCTTGAGCCTATAGATAAGTAAACACCTTTTTTTTAAATGAGCTTAAAGCCCATAATTAAAGTTGTTTATAACCCAACGGCACTCCGTCGCGCACTTACGCGCGGCGAAGCACCTTTTTCGTTCAAATTGCTTTCGAAACGCCTCGCCGCGCTTCGCTAAAGCTTTGAATATAAAATTTTATATTCAAAGGAAGTTTGTTTGTCTATCTAAATCAAGGTAAGCGAAAAAGGCCCCCCCTCCCCGCGTAAGTTAATGATTTTAAAATAATGGAAAATGACATGCATCTTCTTTTATCATGGTGTGGCACGTTTTCTAAATTACTGAATCTTTGCTATCATACATGTATCTGTCAAAATTAGTTTATAGAACCTGCAGCATACCAATTTCACGACTTGGCTTGTAAATAAAGACGGTATTGTTGTCGCACACATTTCACGCTATACTTATTTTACAACCCAATACGTTTACGTTGTGTCTCCTAGTAAATTGGATGCTATTTTTACAGGGCACGTTTCTTGTCATGAAAATATTCGCCCAAGCAATAATAGAAAATAACGTCCAAGGCGCAAGTTTTGTTAATATCGGCAGCATAGTTGCTAAGTTTGGTAACATGGGCCAAGCAAATTATTGCGCAAGCAAAGCTGGCGTTGTACTCGTCACTAAAACTGCTGTAAAAGAATTTTCGAAGTATGGAATTCGGTTTAATACGGTATTACCTGGTTTTATTTCGACTCCCATGACGGACCTGGTTCCAGCAAAAGTTATGAAGAAAGTTATCCCTCTTATAGCTTGTGAAAGAATTGGCCATCCAGAAGGTATTTGCATATTTACAAAAATAGGGGTATTCACGAAGATTATGTAAGGTTTTGCATTAGTTTGCACCCATATGTTAGAATACTATAGAAGCGCCGACGGCAGGGAAAGTTTTGAATTATTACGAAGCTTTATTAAGCGGCAGAGCAAAGCGATGCAAACTTTATACGGGAGTCGATGGTGTCCGTCTGTCCGTCCGTGAACACGATAACTGTCGAACACTTGGTTCAAACTTTGCACAGTTGACTTACTTATATGCCACATGTAACAAGTCTAATAAAAATGGGTCAAATCCAATGACCTCGTAGGGTCACACCGAGGTGCTCTGTCGCGTGAATACCTCTAATAAATATTCTAATACCACAAATGTGTGTTTTCACTGAACTGATCTGTTAAAACAACCAATTTTGGCTTATGATTAACACTTATAGGATTGTCCGTTCTATGCTACCTCCATGGTTTGTGACATGGTAGATAAGGCAAAAATTAGTTGTTTCGGCACTCAATTAAACTCAAAATTAATATCCATAATCTTTTTTTGCTTTAGAGGTTGCCGAAGTGATAGCCTTTTTGGCATCCAGTAAATCTTCCTATATTAATGGAGCTTCAATCGATGTCAATGGAGGAGAGATGGTATAGAACATAAAAATATCTTTGGAATTGCTAATGTAAATAAATGTTTCACTGATCACCTCTTATGCATTAGATATTTATAATTTTATTATTTTTAATGTTGTTATATCTAAAAATATAGGTATAGGTATTTCATATAATGGGAACATGTACACATTTTCTGTGTAAAATAAATAGTAATCGTCTGATACAATCATTTTTTTAAAATACTAATATTATCTATCTGCAGTTGAAATATTTTAATTCAGTTGAAATGTGCTTGCGTATATTAACATTTCTTTTCGGCGAAATTTCTTCTTATACTTCACTGTATACGCACCTAACAGCCAGTTGCAAAAAAAAATAATCCAGGATCATTGTTTAATTCGGTATTAAGACATTTGATTGACTGCATACTGCAGTATAAAGCCAATCAAATGCGTTAATACCGGATGAAACATTTAAACAATGATCCTGGATTATTTTTTAGCATTGGAAATGCTTATGTTTTGTATGGGTATGAATTTACCAGTTTTGCCGGGTAGAAAAGAAGATAAGTGGTGTCCTGTCTAGTCTAGTCTAGTGTTGATTGTACCGTGCTCTATCTAACTTGTAAGTCAAAATGACAGGCGTTTCGCATCTTTCTTGGTTGCAGCATTGACTATAATACCATTGTTAGTATTTAAACAATGCTAATACCCTTAGTCTTTGTTTAAAGTATTTACCTTGGGGTACGAACAAAGTGGAGGCAGGTTTATCGCTTACCGGTTACCAGCGCCTACTCGCGCTTCTCGCTTTGGAAATCATATAATGTTTTCAAATTAGCGTGTACGTATCAAGCAGATTAAAACTTATCGGCGCCGGTCGCCTGCGTCCACGCTTTTGTCGGAATAAAAATTTGGTTTTTTCTGCCGATTCTCGCGCGAGTTTTGGATGAAGAAGCTCTTATAAGCACAGTGTTTGAGAAAACCTCTATAAGGGATACTCGAAATAAATTACATAGGTACTGAAAAAAACGGTCACTATCATTTTTTAACGATTAGTTTGTGTCAAATAATTTTTTATATACGAGTACATCCCCGTCCACTAAATTTTTCCAGTAGAAAAGTACCTAAGCAACGGTTTACTTCCACTGCACCGTGTATAATTGCACCGAGTCACCGACTAACAGTATTGTCAAGGCATGCGTGACACTTCCTCATCTCTTCCATGTGAGAAGGCGAACCTCCACTGATTAAGTTTCATTCTCTTCGCTAACAGGAGAAGTTATCGGTGGTAGCATCTGTTTCTACTAAACTATCAAAAGGCCCTGACTCTTCATGTAACCTAACCCTTTTTGTCGTTTTAATCTGCGAATTGTCCTTTCTTTTGAAGGCTTAGGTAAGTTTTTCGTTAACCTGTCTATGGTCTGGTCATACTTCAAAATGAATGTATCGCGTGCCATTCGTTCTTAGTTCTTACGTATTTATTATTATTTTATTGTGCTAGCAGCTAGGTGATAAACTTTAATTCTCTACCCCACACGTTGGTTTTTCAAAATACCACCACTCCATTACTTTTTCAGAGGTTACACGACTGATACGGGATAACGATAAGCATTGACTCTAAAAGTCAATGCGATAAAGGTGACCATAAATAAGTTTTTTTCAAACACGGTTTCATCTCATTCTTGCTGATTGTGGTATCGTTTGAGTGTTGTCTGCTTATAACTATTCTGAGTAGCTTAGGTAGTTACAATGACTGGATTACTACGTGGAAATTTAGCTTTCGTAACAGGTGAGGTGTGAATTATTTTAAGGACATGCCAAAATAGGCTTCAATTAATACAACAAGTTAAACAAGTTAAAAAGTAATCGTAAACGATTTACATAAAGCGCATTTCCACTTGCATTCATTTCCCATTTGTAAGATGCAACTTCTGTTAAAATCGTAAAAATCCGGCCACAAATATGAAAGATAGCGTTGCACATGGGCAATCCATTGTTGACGTGCTACTTAAACATGCGCAAACCTAAATTTTAAAACTAATGTTAGATTTTCCTTTGTTCCAAGCGCCTAAGTATCAAATTTCACTTAAATGGTTCCATAGATAAAAAAGTTGGCACTGCGCATGCGCAAAAGAAAATTTTGAGACTGGCGCTCGATGATTCCTTTATTCCAAGTGCCTATGTATCACATTTCATTTAAATTCTTCCATAAATAAAAAAGTTGGCACTGCGCATGCGCAAAGCCAAATTTTGAAATTGGCGTTTGATTTTCCTTTATCCCAAGTGCCTATGTATCAAATTTCGTTTAAATTCTTCCATAAATAAAAAAGTTGGCACTGCGCATGCGCAAAACCAAATTTTGAAATTGGCGTTTGATTTTCCTTTATTCCAAGTGCCTATGTATCAAATTTCATTTAAATACTTCCATAAATAAAAAAGTTGGCACTGCGCAATAATAACGCTCAAAAACTTTTTGATGGAGCAGTCATATTACCACTTGAACGAATATCTCGAAAGATGATTTTATTGTTTTATTGTTCATTGTATGCTTTACCTTAACATTATAATTTATGTAAAATATTTATATTTATATTTTTACACATGACACATTGTTACGTACGTTCTGTTCTTATACAAGTATATGGAATGTATTTTGTAACAAATAATAAATATGATATATGATATGCGCATGCGCAAAACCAAATTTTGAAATTGGCGTTTGATTTTCCTTTATTCCAAGTGCCTATGTATCAAATTTCATTTAAATTCTTCCATAAATAAACAAGTTAAAAAGTAATCGTAAACGATTTACATAAAGCGCATTTCCACTTGCATTCATTTCCCATTTGTAAGATGCAGCTTCTGTTAAAATCGTAAAAATCCGCCCACAAATATGAAAGATAGCGTTGCACATGGGCAATCCATTGTTGACGTGCTACTTCAATTTCAGTTTATGAGAAGAATTTCATTTCAATGCTTTTCTAAATAAGAAAGTTGGAACTGCGCATGCGCAAACCTAAATTTTGAAACTAATGTTAGATTTTCCTTTGTTCCAAGCGCCTAAGTATCAAATTTCACTTAAATAGTTCCATAGATAAAAAAGTTGGCACTGCGCATGCGCAAAATAAAATTTTGAAGCTGGCGTTTGATTTTCCTTTATCCCAAGTGCCTATGTATCAAATTTCGTTTAAATTCTTCCATAAATAAAAAACTTGGCACTGCGCATGCGCAAAACCAAATTTTGAAATTGGCGTTTGATTTTCCTTTATCCCAAGTGCTTATGTATCAAATTTCGTTTAAATTCTTCCATAAATAAAAAAGTTGGCACTGCGCATGCGCAAAACCAAATTTTGAAATTGGCGTTTGATTTTCCTTTATCCCAAGTGCCTATGTATCAAATTTCGTTTAAATTCTTCCATAAATAAAAAAGTTGGCACTGCGCATGCGCAAAACCAAATTTTGAAATTGGCGTTTGATTTTCCTTTATTCGAAGTGCTTCTGTATCAAATTTCGTTTAAATTCTTCCATAAATAAAAAAGTTGGCACTGCGCATGCGCAAAACCAAATTTTGAAATTGGCGTTTGATTTTCCTTTATCCAAGTGCCTATGTATCAAATTTCATTTAAATTCTTCCATAAATATAAAAGTTGGCACTGCGCATGCGCAAAACCAAATTTTGAAATTGGCGTTTGATTTTCCTTTATCCCAAGTGCCTATGTATCAAATTTCGTTTTAATTCTTCCATAAATAAAAAAGTTGGCACTGCGCATGCGCAAAACCAAATTTTGANAGCGCATTTTTTTTTATTTTTGTGGAAATGCCCTAAAAAGTAATCGTAAACGATTTACAAAAAGCGCATTTCCACTTGCATTCATTTCCCATTTTGTAAGATGCAACTTCTGTTAAAATAGTAAAAATCCGGCTACAAATATGAAAGATAGCGTTGCATATATGAGCAATCCATTTTTGACGTGCTGATTCAATTTCAGTTTATAAGAAGAATTTCATTTCAATGCTTTTCTAAATAAGAAAGTTGGAACTGCGCATGCGCAACCTAAAATTTTGAAACTGGCGTTTGATTTTCCTTTATTCCAAGCACCTATGTACCAAATTTCGTTTAAATTCTTCCATAAATAAAAAGTTGGCACTGCGCATGCGCAAAACCAAATTTTTAAACTGGCGTTAGATTTTCATTTATTCCAAGTGCTTATATATCAAATCAAATACTTTTATAAATAAAAAAGTTTGCATTTCGGTTTATGAATGGTAGGGGCACTGTGAATTTTGAATCGATTCGACTCAACTTCTGCGGATTACATGGCTGAAGCAATGCCCATATTGAATTTCATGCAATTCAGTTCAAAACCGATCGGACATTTCTAAACAAAGTTATCGTTCACGCGGACAGACAGACAAAGGGCCAGACGGACAGACCAACAGACAGACGACAAACAGCAATACAAAATTATAAACGATCTCTAGGATCGTTAATAAACGGCACAAGTGTAAAATTATGGAACAAGTATAACACAAATTTTTGGTTTATTTACAATAACTTTTTTAGCAATAAACGCAGAAAATATTACTTCCTTGGTGCAAGCCTCGACGCCATAACGAACCAAATAGCGAAACAAGTTAAAAAGTAATCGTAAACGATTTACATAAAGCGCATTTCCACTTGCATTCATTTCCCATTTATAAGATGCAACTTCTGTTAAAATCGTAAAAATCCGGTCACAAATATGAAAGATAGCGTTGCACATGGGCAATCCATTTTTGACGTGCTACTTCAATTTCAGTTTATGAGAAGAATTTCATTTCAATGCTTTTCTAAATAAGAAAGTTGGAACTGCGCATGCGCAAACCTAAATTTTAAAACTAATCTTAGATTTTCCTTTGTTCCAAGCGCCTAAGTATCAAATTTCACTTAAATGGTGCCATAGATAAAAAAGTTGGCACTGCGCATGCGCAAAAGAAAATTTTGAGACTGGCGCTCGATGATTCTTTATTCCAAGTGCCTATGTATCAAATTTCGTTTAAATTCTTCCATAAATAAAAAAGTTGGCACTGCGCATGCGCAAAACAAAATTTTGAAATTGGCGTTTGATTTTCCTTTATCCCAAGTGCCTATGTATCAAATTTCGTTTAAATTCTTCCATAAATAAAAAGGTTGGCACTGCGCATGCGCAAAACCAAATTTTGAAATTGGCGTTTGATTTTCCTTTATTCCAAGTGCCTATGTATCAAATTTCATTCAAATACTTTTATAAGTAAAAAATTTTGCAATTCGGATTATAAATGGTCGAGATGCGAAAAGGGCACTGTGAATTTTGAATCGATTCGATTCAACTTTTGGCATTGCGTATTATATGGCTAAAGCTATGCCCATATGGAATTTCATGCAATTCAGTTCATAACTAACGGAGATGTAAAAGCGATCGAACATTTCTAAACAAAATTATCGTTCACACGGACAGATAGATGGACAGACAGACAAAGGAACAGACGGACAGACCAGCATGCAGACGACAGATAGCAATGCAAAATTATAAACGATCTCTAGGATCGTTAATAAACGGCAAAAGTGTAAAATTATGGAACATGTAAAAAACGGTTTTTTGTTTTTTTACAATAACCTTTTTTGTAAGCGGTACAGAAAAAATTCCTTCCTTGGTACAAGACTCGACACCATAACGAACCAAATAGCGAAAAAAGTAGAACAATAGCTCTTAAGATAAAAAACTAGTAGCGTCGCAAAGTTAGCGGACGAACGGACGGACGGACGGACGGACGGACGGACGGACGGACAAAGTGGCCACAATAGCGCATTTTTTTTTTTATTTTTGTGGAAATGCGCTAAAAAAAAAATGCGCTATTGTGGCCACTTTGTCCGTCCGTCCGTCCGTCCGTCCGTCCGTCCGCTAACTTTGCGACGCTACTAGTTTTTTATTTTAAGAGCTATTGTTCTACTTTTTTCGCTATTTGGTTCGTTATGGTGTCGAGTCTTGCACCAAGGAAGGAATTTTTTCTGTACCGCTTACAAAAAGTTATTGTAAAAAAACAAAAAACCGTTTTTTACATGTTCCATAATTTTACACTTTTGCCGTTTATTAACGATCCTAGAGATCGTTTATAACTTTGCATTGCTATCTGTTGTCTGCCTGTTGGTCTGTCCGTCTGTTCCTTTGTCTGTCTGTCCATCTATCTGTCCGTGTGAACGATAACTTTGTTTAGAAATGTTCGATCACTCTTACATCTCCGTTAGTTATGAACTGAATTGCATGAAATTCAATATGGGCATAGCTTTAGCCATATAATACGCAATGCCCAAAGTTGAATCGAATCGATTCAAAATTCACAGTGCCCTTTTCGCATCTCGACCATTTATAAACCGAATTGCAAACTTTTTTACTTATAAAAGTATTTGAATGAAATTTGATACATGGGCACTTGGAATAAAGGAAAATCAAACGCCAATTTCAAAATTTGGTTTTGCGCATGCGCAGTGCCAACTTTTTTATTTATGGAAGAATTTAAATGAAATGTGATACATAGGCACTTGAAATAAAGGAAAATCTAGCGCCAGTTTCAAAATTTTATTTTGCGCATGCGCAGTGCCAACTTTTTTATCTATGGAAGCATTTAAGTGAAATTTGATACTTAGGCGCTTGGAACAAAGGAAAATCTAACATTAGTTTCAAAATTTAGGTTTGCGCATGCGCAGTTCCAACTTTCTTATTTAGAAAAGCATTGAAATGAAATTCTTCTCATAAACTGAAATTGAAGTAGCACGTCAAAAATGGATTGCCCATGTGCAACGCTATCTTTCATATTTGTGGCCGGATTTTTACGATTTTAACAGAAGTTGCATCTTACAAATGGGAAATGAATGCAAGTGGAAATGCGCTTTATGTAAATCGTTTACGATTACTTTTTAACTTGTTTCTTATGGGCCTCATATAACATATTGTATTTTTGACGGAATGAGATAAAGGATAAAAAAGAAAAATAATAGATAATATATTAAACCATGTTGATTCTGCAATATCTCAAGTTACCCGTGGAATTTTGAGATCGAACATTGGTATGAAAAATTGTTAAAGCGTTTTTTTTACAATTAGAGTAAATTAGAGTTTACGTGATTGGGGAAATTTCCAATTTGTGGCGTTCTGCCAACTGGATCTAGATTTTTATGGGTGTACGTGTACAGTTATGATACCTATTTATATTTTGATTAGAATTTTGCAAGATATTATGTTTAACCTTAGGATTAGAATTATCCATGTCAATGACTGCATGCGCCGATATCATTTGGTTTAGAATTGTTGCTGGAATAAAGTTTATTCATAAGGTCAATTTTATCTTGTCATAGGTTAATCTTGTCTTTAAGTGGTGGCAATTAAACTGTTTTTGTCACAGATAATGGTTTGAAGGTAATCAAGTTCACTAGGTTTATCCCTAATGAATTGGTCAAACTCGACTGTATTATTGTAAACAGCAAATTTGCCGTAGGACATGGTATTTTCATTATCAATTAGGTACATGATTTTAATTTGTTTTTTGTGCAACTATCAGCGTAACTACCTATTATATAACTTTATGTTTGATTTTGTGAGTTACGTTAGCTTGATCTCATTTTCAAAAATGTCTGCGTATCTCTTAATTATAATGTATATAAAAGCTCAATAGTTTTTTCATCTAAATCTCTAAAATCAAAATTATCTTGAATCCAATTTAGATTTGCAATGTCTATTTTATTGACCTTTTGGGGTTTGTTGTGGTTTTCTAAAATTTGGTCTACTGGATCTATAGAACTCTACTAATGTTTTTCTGCAGTATGATTTCTTTATTATTTAAATTGATTAGTCTAACTGTAATTTGTTGATTATTTTTGTTAATTGTTCTTGCACAATACACACCTGGGACTATTACCTGGGGTTCAAGTGCTATCAACTCTTCATGAATTTGATTAAATTGTTTGTTGATGCCTATATGTCTGTCTTTTACTTTGAGATTTCGGCCTCTCGGTTTTCTCTAATTGATAGCTGATGCTCTAGTCAATATTTGCCCGTTACTCATCATGTCCAGTTGGGCGGCAACACTCACGAGTCGGATATAAACAGGGACCCGGAAAATTGATAAAATATTACTCCATGAGTGCCACCCCCGTAGTTGCAGCCGCGGTAATTTAACCTTTCATTAGAATACCATGAAGGGTAGTACATGTGTTTAACCCCCCCAATTTAAACTAATGTAAAAGTTATGCACGTTTTGCTTTCAAAAACAGCAACTCAGGAAATAATTCGTGGGGGCCCCCCTTTTAGACAGCGAAATTTGATGGCCGTCTGGCACACCTTCAAGGTATAGACTACCTACTGCAAAAAATTCCAAGACTCTAGGACCATTCCCGTAGAAGTAGTTCAAAACGGCAGAAGTGCAAACAATAGCACATTTTTTTATTTCTTAAAAAATGCGCTAAAAACAGTACTCCATACTCATTATGGACCGAAAAAAATGCGCAGAACGGAAACGTGATTTTTTTTAGAACCGAAACTGGATCGGAACAGTTATAAATATTTTCGCTTAAATATAAACAGAACCGGAACCTATCATTTGGGTTCGGGTCCCCAGTTTTGAAACATTTTTACTTTAGTTGTTTTGGTTGAATTTAACGGTAGATGCCGAGGTAGATGCCTTTAATTTGTCATTGTACTAAATTGATTACTCTTGCTACTCATTTGTATTTATTGTGTTACTTATGTCGCTTTTATTAATTTGTTTTAACTGCATCTCCTTTTAATAGAGGTACTTGATTTATCATTGTACATACAATTTGGGATGTTTGATTTTGTATTTCTCTTTTTGTATTTTTCTCCGTAGTTGATTTGTTTATTTATCTGTGAGTATGTACCTATGCCAGGTTTTTTCTTGCTCGTTTTTTCTGGCTTTTATGTTTTGGTTTGCTCCATTAAATTTCATTTTCCTTATCTCTTCGGACACACAAAACTCGTAGTTTTATTCAATGGCGTCCCAATTGTGTCTCACGTCGTTCCAATAAATAAAGGTCCTAGCATATAGCATAACACAATCTATAGGTAGTCGTATACTCTTATAGTAAGAAATAAATCTCAGACCATCACACAATGAAAAAAATAAGGAATAAGAAATATGAAATAAGAAATAAGGAATAAGAAATACGGAATAACAATTTTCAATTTATTGACTTGTATGGATTTACACACAACACTGAAATATGAAATAAGCCTAGGAAATAAGAAATAATAATTTTGTTCAGTTGAATTTTTATTCCTTATTTCATATTGCGAACCAATATGACATTAGAAGAGGCGCGTACGCGTATTCTATATTCATTATTTTACCTTGTTAACCTAAAATAAAACAAGTACGGGGTGTTAATTCACTTGTACCTTTTAATTACAAACAAAAAATTCAAGTTTGGACAACTTACCAGCTGTGTAATAATAACAATGAGGTTAAAAGCATTCAGCACGTCATAAATTCAAACGGTATGAGTGTTCTGATTGGCTTATAGTCTGTTGCTATTTTTGTGTTGTGTTTTGCTTGTACGGCGTCACTATTTCTTATTCCATATTTCATATTCCTTATTTTTTTCATTGTGTGATAGGCTTTTACTCGGAGATCGTAGTCGTACCATCCGATCCGAGTCAAACATTTACCGAGATTTGAAAGTGGCGTGAAGCGTCATTTCGACATGGATAGGTATGTCGCTACGTCGTTGCTTGCAATTTTGCCCCAACGGTATCTATAGGGTAATGCGAAACTGCATTGCCGGATCTGGGGGATAATACTTGTCTGTTTATTATTTTGGACAGTTTGCATTTGAAAAAGTATCTTGTGTTTGCATATGTAACGAAGCGCTTGCGGGCCTATGTTTATGTGAGCTTTAAGTTATAGAATAAAAGACTTATGCTCTTCCGCATGTACATCATATTTAGGAACACCCTGTATAGACGATATTTCATTCTTTTCTGAATAAGTATATTGAAATGGATATTTTTACAGGCGGTGGCTCGGGAATTGGTAGAGCAGCATGTCAAGTCCTAGCTCGAGAAGGTGCACAAGTAGTAGCAGCTGATAGAAATTTAAAATCTGCAGAAGAAACAATCGGTACATTGCAAACATCCAACAGCAATGGGGCCAGTCATCATAGTAGCCATTTAGTGGATGTGTCCAATTTTAATAGCGTTAAGAGTTCGTTGAACCAAATTTTGGAAAAATATAAAAAGCCACCATCTATAGTGGTGAACTGTGCTGGTATAAACCGAAATAATTTTATCTTAGATATGACTGAGGAAGAATTTGATGATGTCATGAATGTTAACTTAAAGGTTCGAAAATATCTACCGTATCCCATTTGTTAGTAACGCATTGCCATCTTTACCTACTTACAAGTTACAAGCTGTGCTGTAGGGTTTGGCTATGTTGCACGTTAGTATAATCGCTTATCGCATTTTATGTCTACGAGTACCATCTTAAGCATATAAGCCTTTTATCTGTAATATAAGTAAAGGCCGGGTTTTAAATTAGCTTAAACCGATAATTAGTCATTTACCTACAATCCAACGACACTTTAATGATTTCTTATATTTTCAAAAAAAAATATTTGAAAATAATAAGTTTTGTGGCAAACATGTAAATGTTAAAAATGTGTTAAATATTTTCATTTTATTAAATTAAATTTTGCAAGAATATTATTCATATACCGGGTGGTGCCTAGCGCGACGCAGCATAGGGATTTCAATGGTAATTTCTTTATAGTCAATTACTAGCTCCCCTAATTATTTTAGAGCAAAAGTGTAAATACGTTTTTTTTAGAGAAAAAAATACTGCATATGTTCATACTATTACATAATTATCCGTTTTTCAAAACCGTAGAAATCGACAAAATAAAAAGGTTCATTTTACAATAAATCAAATATGCCTTGGAATTACCTAAAAAAAACAGCGATCACGTTTCATTTATGCCTTTGACGTATATTAAATTAGTTAAAGAACTGCAAGTGCAATAACGTTCAAAATGTCCGTCAAAACCATCAGGGAAACGACAATACGTCAATACATTCAACGTTTTGGCTGCAGTAGCGGAAAATCAGAATATAAGTTTAGGAACAAATCTTCTTCAAATCAATTTTTTTTCTTCGATTATGTAGGTACTCTGATTCCGGAAAATGATAAACAAATAGTATCTGATGCAGATGCAGCATACATTCTCTAAAAAAACATTACCCTAAGATGCCTTTTATTGCGTCGGTTAGTTGAAACAGAATTTAATATGAAAATCGTTCGACGTCAAACAACGATAACTTAGATGCGATGCGCTTGTAGTTTGTTAAAAGATTCCAAAGCATCACTGATTTATAAAAATGTAATTTTTTATTTTATCGATTTCTACGGTTTTGAAAAATGGAAAATTATAACTAAAAGTATGAACAGATGCAGTATTTTTTTCTCTAAAAAAACGTATTTAGACTTTTACTCTAAAATAATTAGGGGAGCTAGTAATTGACTATAAAGAAATTAGGTACCATTGAAATCCCTATGCTGCGTTGCGCTAGGCACCACCCTGTATAATTTATAAACGGGAAGCGTCATGCGTTCTCTAATTGTATTACTATAGTGGTACACTTTCTAACTTACTGTATCTTTATCTTTACTATCAGCTATCTGTCAAAATTAACCTACCTGCACCATTGCCAATTTCACGACATGGCTTGTAAATGAATATGGGTATTGTTATCGCACACATTTCACACCATTGACCATATACAGGCCGCGCGCTATAGCATGGCGAGAGTTTAGATGCGCAGTGAACGAGTTTGCGCGGTTCACTTGAATGTTTCCAGTGCCGCAGTCATGATAACGAGCATGATACTGTACTATCTATAGTAAGATACGCTCAAGTGAACGCCACTGAATAAGTAAGAATCTCAATCGACTCATTTTCCCGGCAGTTGCCGATGTCACATTCGGTCTGCACCGTGCTGTAGTGCGCGTCCTGTATCTACCTCTTTTCCGTTGTGTATCCTGACATAGTAGTAAATTGGATCGTATTTTTACAGGGCACGTTTCTTGTTATAAAAATATTCGCCCAGGCAATAATAGAAAATAAAGTACCAGACGCAAGTTTTGTTAATATCGGCAGCACAGTTGCTAAGTTTGGTAACATTACCCAAGCAAATTATGGCGCAAGCAAAGCTGGGGTTGAACTTGTGACTAAAACTGTTGTAAAGGAATTTTCGAAGCATGGAATTCGGTGTAATACGATATTACCTGGTGTTATTTCGACTCCCATGACGAATCTTGTTCCAGCAAAAGATCTGGAGTTAGTTTTGCCGCTTATAGCTTGTGAAAGAATAGGCCATGCAGAAGGTACCTATTCGTATTTGCATATTTACAGAAATATTTACAATAGGGGTATTCATGAAAATTATGTAAGTTATTTGTTAGAAAATTTTAAATAATTATGAAACTTTATTACAAATTAGAATTTGCCGAAAGCTTGCGTGAATACCTCTAAAAAATATTATATTGCCACAAATTTTGTGGTTTTCACTGTCAAAACAACCAATTTTGGCCTATGATCAACAACACAAAATCTTATAGGATTTTCAGTTCTTTGCCAAAAATGGTTTGTAGTAACATGGTACAAAAGTTAAAAAATTAGTTGTTTTGACATTAAATGAAACTCAAAATTAAGCATCCATCTTTTTTGCTTTAGAGGTTGCCGAAGTCATAGCTTTTTTGGCATCGAGTAAATCTTCCTATGTTAATGGAGCTGCAATCGAAGTCAATGGAGGATGGAAGGCATAGAATTTACAGCATACAAATATCATGGGAATTGCTAATGGAAATAAGTCAACAATTTACTTATCACCTCTTATATAGACATAATTATTTTTATATATGTATAAAAAAAATGCAATAAATCCACGATCTCGTAATGCATAAATTTTAATGAAATTTAAAGACGAATAACACGACATATGTTTCGGAACTCAAGTGGTTTGGAATCTCTGTGAGATAGGAGATAGGAGTAACGATTTACTAGTTTCTACATACGAGTATTTTATTATATAAATGTTCTTCTTTCTCCAAGGCTATATAACTTTCTATCTCTAGGAGATGACGCGTGATGGCTCGCCAGTCAACTTCTCCTATCGCCAGTAAAAACCTTCTTAACCATGCTAATAATGTAAAATATTATATTGCAGATAGGTAGCAAAACGCTTCGAGAAGCTAGTCGGTGTTTTAGTTTTGGTCATACGAGCCCTAACACAAAAATGTTCGGACATTAATTATATTTGTTTCTTAAAGTTTGAATTTTTCCTTTATCGGTTAAAAATCCTGATTTTGTATTATAAGATATTTAAATATATTGCTTGTACATCATATTAACAAATATGTTTTCAATTAAAATGATATTAAACTATATATACGCAATACGGAAAATAATATTTATGTCTTAGTACTAACCTATCATAGCACATTTTACCACTTTATGCCCTAGGGCATTAAGTATCACCATAGTAACTCATTTATACTTAATGACAAAACAAACAAATATTTGCAGGTCATTGAAAATTAGAAACGTCAATTATTAATTGTCAATACCTACTAAATCATAAGATTGGCCTTATTTCGTAGTTTCTGGAACTTCTTGCTCATTCACGATGAATTGAATTATTTAAAATTACGTTTGACGTTTGGATGGTTTCAATTACATTAGTAAATTCGAACCACGCATACTTGATCAAACATAATGAATTATTTTGTAAACGAATTTTGACGAAGAAAACTATTTGTAAAACATAAAATTGTGTATGATATGTACCACGGGCATAAACTGATGTTTATACTCTCGGGCGACTAAAAAGCTCTCGGGCCATAGGCCCTCGAGCTTTTTAACTCGTCGCCCTCGAGAATATAAACATCACTCTTATGCCCTTAATACATAAATAACTATTATAACAATGTAATATTTAGCTGACACATAAAAGTTCGGACACAATGTAAAAAAAATAGTAAGCCATGGAAACCATGGAAATCAAAGTGACATTTTGACTTAAATCAGTTCACTGAATCTGTTTTCCCGAAAATGTCGCGCGGTAAAGCAACAAATAGTGCCATCAGAAGTTTAATCTTAAGATTGTTTGTTTCATCAAGGGAAAACCTTTCGGGATATTATTGGTAAACAAATAAATGTTGCGAAATCTACGGTGGCAGACATTGTAAAAAAGTATGGAGAAACGGGTTCTATTGAAGTTTTAAGAAATGGTGTTGGTAGACCACGTAAGGTCATTCCAAGAATGCAAAGATCTCTTGTACAGATTTGCAAAGCTGGTCGTCGAGTTACCGTCCGGGACATCACAGCAAAATGGAATGAAGAAACAGCTGAAAATGTGTCACGAGAAACTTGTCGAAGGTGGATTCATAAGTCTGGATTACATTTTTATAAGGTAGGTATGTGCCGTTTAAGGGCATATTTAGTCATATTATTTCAGCACAATGTTCGCTTTAGGCGAAAAGCCGTTGCTGACTGAAAAACAAAAGAAACGACGATTAGCATGGGCTAAGGAACGAGCAAAATGGACGTACGAGCACTGGAAAAGGATCATTTTTAGCGATGAATCAAAATTTGATGTCTGTGTGGGTGACCTCCGATCGCGTGTTATCAGAAATAAAAATGAAGCATATCATAAAGACTGCCTAAAGAGAAAAGTAAAGCTTCCATCAGGTGTAATGGTATGGGGAAGCATGTCTGCTTTCAGCGTTGGGAAGCTTCATTTTGTAGACGGTACGTACAGTAAACGCTGAAAAGTACCAAAATATCCTTGAAACCAACTTATTACCGTCACTTCAAAGTTTATCATCTGATGGAAATTTTACTTTCCAACAAGATGGGGCGTCATGTCACACGGCCAAGACGACGAAAAGATGGTTTGAAGAAAATGATATTTCCGTCCTTGACTGGCCTTCCAGTAGTCCCGATCTAAACGTGATTGAAACCGTGTGGCATAAAATGAAGCAACATTTAAGAAATGATCCACAGACAAACATTCCCGATTTGCGGATAAAATTACAAAACATGGGATGCTTTTAGCGCAGAAGACTGTGAAAAGCTCGTTAGAACTTTGCCTAGCAGAATAAATGCAGTTAGTAAGGCAAGAGGAGATGTAACAAGTTATTGACTTTGTTTTTTTTTGGCGTCGATATTAGATATTGTCCGAACATTTATGTGTCAACCAAATATTGTGTTGTTATAAATATGTGATTAGCTTTAATGTTTAACATCAAATTGGTTAAGAACAATATTGTTAATATGTAGTACTATTAAATTTTATCTACGACTATTAAATAACGCTCAAATAACGTCACTATATTTTAGCGAATTATGATATGCATTATTATCGGTTCCTCTAAAATCCTTATATACAACTACTTTATGTCACTATATATTTCTCATAATTGCATATGTATAAGTAAGGTATAAGTTCATAATTGCATATGTACTAAAAATAGAACCGCCCATCTCGTATGTACTACCTGTCAGTTTTGTTTTGAATTAAGCATTTCTTAGGTTAGAAATGAGAGATTTCGGGTTACGTACGTTTAACTTTGTAGGTTTATTTGAAAAACAATTAATACAGGAACTTGATCCACCCCTATGACGAGATATGTGCGATATTTATAAAATGGGATGAAATAAACTTGTAAAATACCTGAAGTCATTGGCAAGTTCAGGCAACGTTACTTAACGACAGATACCTTCGCTGATACAAATATTCTGCATGAGCATGAATAAGGTTTTCGTTTGTATTTAAAGTATCTATACCTTCATATTCACAAGGCATTATTTGTAGCATAATGGATTATCGGAAGCCCCATTTGAAGATTATGCTAGGTATAACCTATAAGTTTCAGCCTTTTACGAAGAGAAATATGTTTCGTACAACATATGTGGTATTGTTGTCGAAATTGTGCCACGATACAAAACAATAACATATTGTAAACTCGTTGACAACAAAGGATACAAATTGTCGTAGCACTTAACCACCGTTTTGCATGATTTATTTTAAGAATTGATAATTCGTAACAGGTCTTACATACTAGGCATTGACCAAATTACTTAAATAGATGGCTACAATATGTACGTTAACTAATAAAAAACACCTCTTGCCCTTAAATTTGCAATAAAACTATGCTTTCATTGCTTAAACTTCGTTTCTAAAAGAGGAAGAAACTTCTTGGATGCAGGTCGGAGAAGCGTAACGAAGTCTTTGAAAAATTAGATTATGTATGCGAAACAAAATATTGTATTCCATTTGGCAGCTGTGTAACAATTTCTGCAGGCATAATTGATACATCGGGATCGGATTTAGAGAATAGTTGTACATAGGTACATCACATAAATATCCACCTTACTCCCATAGGTTATGTCACAATCTAAAACAATGAAAAATGAATGACAACCATTTATATTAGCAATAAATAATCTTACGTGTAGGTAATTACGTGTTGAATTAATGACTTCTGGGAACTTTAGATAAATTGCATATTTAGTTCGCCACTTAGGTACATTGCGATACATTGAATTAGATTTGAGGTTAAATACCGTCAACGAATGAACGAACGCAAACCAAACCATAGGCGTACATTGCGCTACCGCTATGAAGTTGCTACGTTTCAAACTGATTCAGATGCCGCATTTTCTATTTAAATAAATAGTCGTAGATAAAATAGCGTATTTTACTTGCATATAAAGGCGATTATGACACTCGGAAAAATTACAACACTCGCCTTCGGCTCGTGTTGCAAACTTCACCTCGTGTCATAATCGCACACTTTATATGCTCGTATAATAATATACTATTAAATGTCACACACAATGTCGACATTAATTAAACATGATTTTTAATCGATAAAAAGAAAAATTCAAACTTTAACAATATTAGTTCATGTCCGAACATTTTTGTGTTAGGGCTCGTAGACGAAAAGTCATAAGTAGGTACACACGCAAAACACCAACGAGAAACAGATTTAAAGTGTAAGATGAAAGATTTATGTAAATACTCTCAAGAGCGCTGGCAAAATGAGTGTAAAATTGTAAATTATGCGATTGAAAATTGCCACGTCCTGGAATCCTGGATCCTCCTGTCGGTAACCGAGGCACGTGGCGCAGTGGTCGCGCTCACCGATGCTATTCGGGAGGTTGTGGGTTCGAATCCCGCTGCCGACTGCTCTGTCTGGGGTTTTGTCAGGGGGTTTTCCTCAGACATACGTAGCTTCGCATAATGCTAGCATTATGTTGAAATCTACGAGGCAAATGCTGGAGCAGTACTCTCCCCCTCAGCACCCTAACTCCGTTCCTTCCGTTCCCATCCCTAACTTTACCCATCCTTACAATCCCGTTCTCTGGCTGAAGAGGGCCAGGAAGCCCTGAGCAGCCCGCCTCCTGTATCCTGTAGTCAGGGGTGCCGGAGGAATGTAACACGTTGGCCTTTTTCCTTTCCTGTCGGTAATTACTTATGCGCACTGAAGGTCATTTTCTGGACACAACGCGAAGTGCATATTACCGTTAGCATTGTCACAGATTAACTACAATGTGGCATTGTGAATAAACAAAGCCGTTAGCTTTCTTCCTATATTTTCCAAGGTTTAAGCAAAGAGTAGGTATATAACGTTATATGTATACAGGGTGGGTTTTTTTTCATTTTAAGCATTGGGATCTCCTCGGAAACCATAAGACATACGGATTCGGTTAAATGAGAAAAGAGTTGTCGTTTTAAGAGCTTATATAAGATATGCTTTTGTTTTTTGAAAAAAATCCACAGTTCACTAGATATGAGCGAAAAACAGATTTAGTGATTTTTCAATTAACTGTTGTAGAATCGTTATTATTAGAAATACAACAAAATGACACAAATAAAAGTTTTAGACATTTTAATGCTTAACATCATAAACATACTAATTTATTTTTAGATCTTACAATTTTTGAGTTATAATACAAACTTTAATTTTTTTAAATGGTAGATAGTCATAGTTGGCTTTGACATTTTTAAAAAGGACAAATTTTTCTCTTTATAACGATATAAGGCTTGCTAAATGTACTTTAATAAATAAACGCCCTGGGGGGGGGGGGGGGACACTCACCACCCAGGGCCGCCGCCAGAAAAAAATATAGGGAGGGTCAAAAACTTTAACTCAATTTGCTATTCAAGAAATGAAAAAAATTTTAAATAAACGTAAAATTTTCCATTCCCATCCCATTCCATACAATATTGTAAAATTTAAGAATTTTGATGAATTAATTTTATCTGAAGCTATAAATCCAGGGTCCAGGAGGGGGGGGGGTCGGCGGGAGACACTCACATTAAAGGGCTATTACGCCAAACCATAAGTAGAGTAAATTTACTCTATGGCCAAACTCACTAATACTCGTACTTGCGATGCTCTACTTTGCATCCTCATCCCTCATACGATCGTGACCAGAGCGCGTACGCAACTTAACTGCCTTAACACGATCCCTTAACGCCATTGCACCCATATGTGCAGAATCGCGCATACTTGACCAGTCAACTTGCCATATTTATCAAATAGGGGTTGCGTTGACATTTTACTTTTTCGTTATTAAGGACTACCATAAAATATCGTTCTTACATAACTAATAACCATCAGTAACTACTAATGTTAAATCTAAGAAGTTTTTACACCAACATTTCAGAACCAAGTTTATAAAGTATCCCTCTCACAAAGTAATGCTACGGGGGGCAATAAATAAAACAGTACCAGTATCGGTTCCCGTTACCATAAGTTTTTGAGTAACAGTTCCGGTGCTTTTCAGTTCCAGTTCAAACCCTTAGTGTGGCTATATATGAAATGCCGGCCACGGTCATCCTGGCGATTCCCATCCCGACACCGATTTCCCGGCGATGGGCAATCCCGGCTTCGGTCGTCCCGGCAATTTGAACTCTGCGATCGGAGAGATGGAAAACATTTAATACGCGGTAAAAATATGAATCAAATTCATGTTTATCATATTGAAACAATTCACCGGAATTAAGTTTTCTTATTTGCTATTTTATAGAGTGTGATTTTGCCTTTTTAGATAAAATACAATCTGAATAGGGACTATAAGGCGCTTTCTTTCGGCTACTGCGCAATCATGATTTCGAGATCGTGATTCGTAGGATCACGTTTTACGAAAGAACGCGCGAATTTGAATCAAAGTTTGGTTAAGTTTACGTAGCGCACATTTGCATTCGAATTACGTATTTTTTGTTTGGATTATGAAAATAATTTAAATACAAGTGGAAGTACTTGCACGATTATGCTCCTCTTCAGTTACAAATATTGACTAATCTAACATTGGAGCAAAAATATCCTTGCATTTATAGGTTAGGAATTCGTGTCATAAAACTTTTATGTTCAGTTTGTTCACGATTTTAGCAATCATGATTATAAGATCACACTTCGAAAGAACGTGATTTGACAAATCCAAACGCGTTTGGATCACCGAAAGAAAGCGCTTTTTGTACCAAATTGAAATTATACCATTTATAGGTAGGTAAAGTTTTTTGGTATCTACCTGCGTAGGTAAACGGTAAAACGCATTTTTTTAAAAATGGGCCCTTTCCACCGATGGCAATTATGTAAACAACACAATTTATTTGAGCTTCCTTGCATATTTCGGTCTCCTATACCTATTTCTAAGCATTAATTACAATGCGCCCAGACACAATAACAGCCACTTTCGGTACCAAATGTCCAAATTTGACATCCGCTTCATATCATTATTTATGTCCAAAAAAAAAAATAGAAATGAGGTTGGGCCTTAGACCATATAGTACAGGTTGGGCCTCTCTTTCCTTGTCTAGGGTTGGGCAGACGCCCAGACGGCGTTATGAAAGTGTGCATAACCATTGCCGGGAAAGCAATAGTCGCAGAGATACTAGATAGGTCGTCGCCTGGTATAAATCGCCGGGGTGACCGATGCCGGGATAGTAATGGTCGCCGGGGTGGGATGCAACGATGAAATGCTGCTTCATGTTACCACAGCCGTCTATAATTACAAGCCATGCTGAGAAGTTTGGCAACGTTGTCCGAAAGTCAATCGGTGGGCCGATATAATTTTAATGGCGTCTTGTTGTTGAAAAATTGCATTTTTCCTCACTCCTGTGTTTCGCCTTGGTGGTTTTAATACAGAAGAAAGATACCAATTGTACATATATTTTATTTATTTACAAAAGTGGATAATAAAATTTTTATTTGACGTTAAAATTCGGAACGCTGTAAATTGGTAACTGCATCATAATGTGTTTTCCATCGAGATCTCCGAAATTGGTGAACTTCTGTCGAAAGAGGTCGAGGTGAAGCACACGCTTGGGCACTTAATTTCGGCAAAAGGACAGTAAATCGCTGTGCATCAGCGAGGTTTTATCAACGACCAGGTGTGATTCGGAACGGCAGATTTTAAGCCAGTCGGTACTCCAGTGGGTCTAGGTACGAAGCTATTAAAGAGGGGAGCCCCGTAGACTTCAAATTCCCTACCGTGTACTCCTGGAAATAAGTCGGAAGGTTCCTTCAGAAAATCGACTTGACATGTCCGTGCTAGAATATCTGAAATACCAACTAATATAGTATATTAAGATACAAAGTATAATATAAGTGTATAATCAAGTCTTTAAAGCACGCGCAACGAGTTTAAGGGCACGACGCAAAGCGGAGTGCCTTTAACGTTGCAAGTGCTTTAAAGACCAATTATACACGTGTATCTTATAATATTTTTTATTATACCTGCACTGTAATTTAAAAATAGGAAATACAATGAAATCATATTGACGTTATACTCGAATACATGTCTAATTAAGTGGGCTGGGTTGCTACGGGGGTTCCTTCTGGACTTGAAGATTACCATCGGTTCCGCCCGGCAAGGCAAACCGTCTTCTTCTTAGGCTGCTCAAACGATAAAAATAAATGCTCCGGCTAACTCAAATCGGTGGGCTTTTAACTCTTTTGAAACTGTGTAACAAACCTTAACCTGCCGCCTACCAGTCTCCTGCCTCAACTCCTACTTCTCCCTTTCCTTCCCCTCGTTCTTTGTTAAAGACAGGCACTTGAAACCAAATAGATAATATATTGAAATGAAATTAGCGATACAAACAATTTACAGGGATCTAGCAGTTCTTCTCTTCTCCTTATAAAAACACTAGCTTAACAATGACAACTAAAAAATCCTAACAGGTGAAACTAATTTACTCAAGGGGTGGCCATCCTCTACAGTTTGAAAAAATGCAACAACAGGTAATCAGTTTTTAATCCAGCGTGGGCTGGGACTTATTTAAATAAACACAAAAATTTATCCTACTCTTTGGTAATCGTTCATTGGACTTTAATAAACAATCAAATCAAATTTTTTTACTATAGCTTAATTACCAAAAAGTGGAATTTTACAGAACGTTACAAATTTAATTAGACTAACCTTTACAACATTTGTACAGCCGATCTTGTGAACTGCTCTTTCCTCTGGTACAGGGTGGATGTGATCTGACACTTAGGTCTCTGTGACTTTGTTAGGGGTGGCTTGAATTTAACACACGGAAACAAAAATCCACGGTGCCTATCCTTCCTCGGAACGAAAGCAAAGTTTAGTGTTTGAACGGAAACTTAGTCCCGGAAATCCTTCGCGTGGCGAGTGGGAGACGGCTAGTTGCCAAAGTTTCTACACAGCACAGTGTATTTAATTTTATTTTATCAGTTTATTAGCTTTAATCGCCGGCGGGAGACGGATTTTTGAGTTAGCGGTACGGCAGAACACAAACTTTTATGATCACTATCCGACGGTAAACCGCGATGGTTCAAAGTATTATTTCACCAGCTCTTCTTGGGGCAAATATCTCTCCGAAACGCAGCGCTCCTTCGACAAATGACCTTACGGCACTAGTAGGAAATTCCACCTGGGGCGGATCCCGAAATTCTGCGCCTTGAGGACTAGGGCAGCACTTTGAATTATATATCCTCGAGAAATCACAACGTATCCTAACGCGATTCACTGCATCCAAAGTAAACTGGGGTGACGCTCAAGGGTTCGCCAAAATATCATCTGATTTGAACCGGGTCTTCTTCGCCAAAAAAATCAACACGAAAAGAAAAATAACACTTCGGAACGGGTGCAAAAAGCACGCAACTGGGAGCAACCGAAATAAGCCGGTGGCTCAAACCGCCAAGTGTACCAAAACTTTCGCTCAAGGTACGTGTTGACCGCTTGAAGTACTAACCGCGAGTCTTCTTCAAAAACGATCCCCTTCTTCAGAATTGAAATGAAAAAACCACACCCAAATTACCATAAAACAAAAATGGCTCCCGCTAGAAATTCTCCCATTGGTTTAGATAAAGAAAACTTAACCCACTCCAACTTCGTCATTAACCTCCAAGAACTGCTGACCAAACTGATCTCACGGTTTTCTGTTGACGACGTGGAAAGGCCCCTTATCTCTGATAGCTCGGTGCTACATCCGCTCCTTTTCTCGGTCCAGACGGCGCCAAAGTTGACAAACAACTCGCATTACTCATGATGACGTCAATCAGCTTTGCACTCTTCCCACGACGAAATTAAATCTGAGCGAAATTAAATCTATCGGACCATAGTCTTGAGCGAACCGAAATGCCCAAACACAAAATTTCTAACCGGAACAAATAATGAAATATACAGGGTGACCTGCACTATCATGACAAGAAATTCGAAATTTTTAATGAAATTTGGCGCGAAATAAAACCACTCGTTACAGGGTGTTCGTAATTTCACGATTGCCATGGAAATGTCACTTGACGTTTGCTTATAAAAATCATCGTGTTTGGAATAAAACGATTTCCGTTGAAAAAGATAATACACCGTCCATTAAATCGATTGTTGTAAAATCTAAACAAACATTGGTAGGTGTAAAATCCAAATCCAGTAAAGCCTATTATAAAGAATATGAAAAGTTGTTTCCATGGATGGAATAGGAAGTTACTTACGAATAAAGTCTTAAATGCATCCATAATGCTGGCATAGATGAAGTAAATGTCAAAGGTATTTAACTTCTATATTTTGGTGCATTCATTCAAAACTTTAAAGCAATGCTGCGATTAAAAAGTGGAACAGATTTGGAAGCATACCCTAAATTACGCGCGTTTGTGAAAGCTTCAACCAAAGGATAGGTACAAAAGCCAAAGAAATGTTCTGCATTTACAGAAAGCGACCTAAGAGGATTTTTTATTTCATCCAGATGACAGTTTCAAAAGTCATACTTGAAGTATGTTCTGCATTTACAGAAAGCGACCTAAGAGGATTTTTTATTTCATCCAGATGACAGTTTCAAAAGTCATACTTGAAGTATCGTTACTTAGCAACTTTAAAGCACGTGTGTTTTAAAGGAATTTTATGTCTTACTAACCTATCATAGCACATTTTATATCTGTGATACGCGGGCATAAAGTACCACTTTATGCCCTAGGGCATTAAGTATCACCATAGTAACTCATTAATACTTAATGACAAAACTAACAAATATTTGCAGGTCATTGAAAATTACAAACGTCAATTATTAATTGTCAATACCTTATACTAAATCACAAGATTGGCCTTATTTCGTATAGTTTCTGGAACTTCTTGCTCATTCACGATGAATTGAATTATTTAAAATTACGTTTGACGTTTGGATGGTTTCAATCACATTAACAAATTCGAACCACGCATACTCGATCAAACATACTTAATGAATTATTTTGTAAACGAATTTTGACGAAGAAAACTATTTGTAAAACATAAAATTGTGTATGTACCACGGGCATAAACTGATGTTTATACTCTCGGGCGACTAAAAAGCTCTCGGGCCGTAGGCCCTCGAGCTTTTTAACTCGTCGCCCTCGAGAATATAAACATCACTATTATGCCCTTAATACATCAATAACTATTTTCGCACGCATTTGAGTGTTTAAAACGGAGATTGTGATTCAGGTATAATAAAAAAATAATTATTGTATTCTTTCACGATAAACACTTACCGTACTTACGTACCACGTAGGTCGTAGTGTGTAGGTCATATTTGAGCTTGGACAGGTACTTTGAACAAATACAAGTGCTTGTAAAGGGTTCACTAAGGAAGTAGCCTGCTTTAGAGGTTATGACAACAAATCGATATATTTCGTTTAGCAACTTACCTGAATAATAATTTCTGTTCATTCCGTACGGAGTAACACAAATTGTCGCAATCTCGCTCTGTTAAAACAGGTAAAAAGGAATATTACACTCAAAACACACATAAAATACACCTGAAATCTGTCAAGTTGAATTAGGAAATCGGCCTACCATGCAGTGTTGCCATAATTCTCAGCACGGCTTGTAATTATAGACGGCTGTGATGTTACCTTCTAATGATAGTAACCAAATAAATGTTGGTAGTATATTATAAATGTTTGTTTTAATCTGTATTGTCATCATTTCTTTACATTGTTATTGCAATTCTATTATTGGTTTGTGTTGCAACTCCGACATAAAAGGCTAAACGTATGCAACCGATCATACATACTTGTATCACGAACGCAACCTGTTTGTGTTTGGTAGTTCAAATTACCCAAATATAGAAGTCTAAATAGACTTGTGATAGTTCGAAGTTCGTTCGAAGTAATGTAAACACGTGTGTACCTTTAACCTCATTTTTAAAAGGTTTCGAATAAATTCTGCAAAGTTTAATTGCATGCAATGAGTTTTTTTATTGATTCTGGAGACGGAGAAAATATACCGACGAACAGTGACTTGATAATAAATACCACGTGCCCACCTCCAGAAAATGAAGATCCTAATACAACCATTAAGGAAATGTTATCTCAATATAAAACATGCTTAACACCTTTAAACTCGAAGTTGAAGTCGAAACATAACAGCATGTTTGATACGTTCGCTATGGAAATGGGATGGTCTGACCATGTATCAAGAAGTCGCAAGAAAGAAAAAGAAGTTATTGACATAGATACTTCACAAACAAGACGAAATGTGAATGATTTGTTAAATAAATCAGTACTAACACCTGAATTTGAAACTTTAACTCAAGTTCCTCCATATGAGGTTGCAGAAACGAGACTTAGATTACAGCGACAAGTAAATTAAATTGTATGCCTCTGGAAGGTATGAATTTTTAATCTTACAGAGAGAACGAGCGAAAACCAAGGGTGCAAAATGGTATGGGTTACCTGCTACGGAACTGACAAAAGAAGTTAAAGATGATCTTCAGATTTTGCAAATGCGATCGGTTCTTGATCCCAAACGATTTTATAAAAAGAATGATTTAAGTGTGCTGCCAAAATATTTTCAGGTAAGTAATGTGTATTGTTGCTTTGCTCGTTATTTCTATAGAGCAGACAGCTGCTTAGAGCACTGACCGTTTTAGGATTTTTTGCATACCTGGTATTTAAAATTCCAGATATCTATGATGCTTAGATACCTATTAATAAAATTTAATTTAGATAGATATTCAGCCTTGGGATGTATCACTTTAACATGCAAGTTATCTGTCAAAAATGTCACATTGCCTATAAAGGGTAGTTCATACGGGATAATAAATTGTGATAGTACTTCTGAGAGTAACTTGCGCTAGCAAGTACCTACTCTTGACACTTTTCATCTATAAATTTTAATGCGTTTTGTTTCTTGAGTCTGTCCCTGTAGATTTTTTATTTGATTTGCCACAACTCCGGAAATTCTTCAAAAGTGTTAATTAAAGAAGACGTGTCGTCTTTTGACCACCCACGTTTTCCCTCCATGTAGCGCAGTGCCCTCTGACACAAACTTGTGAGAGTTTTACTATCCCGTCTAAATTATGCTTAACGCAATTTAACGTTTTTTGCAAGGTTTTTTTGGCAGATAACTTGCAGGTCAAGTTTGACGTTTTTGATACATCACAGGGCTGATTGCTGAATGTTTCTTTAACGACATTCATTAGCATTGGAATTTTCAATATTAAATTTATTGAATATGGTACCTAGTAGACCTTCAGTACTTATTTTCAATAGCTGACACAATATAATACGTAAATCTGGCACTGGGTGTAACTTTGCTTCAAATAGGAACTGTTTTTAGATCGGAAAAGTAATGGACTCACCACTCGAGTTTTATAATAATCGATTAACCAAGAAAGAGAAAAAGGAGACACTAGTGGATGAGTTATTAGCAGATGCCGAATTTAACAGATACAATAAAAGAAAATACAAAGAAATAATTGAAGAGAAGCAAGGTAAAGCTTGGAAGCAAGCAAAAAAAAGAAGGCGAAATAAAAATAAAAGTAAATAACCCTAGAAATAACCACATTCTTCTGTTCTGTATTGTATTTACTTGATTTGAAATATTCAAGTGGACGCACGTAGTCATAAAAAAATATAATAGTATTAGTGACATGTGCACTTTTACTGATATAATAAAGAAAGTAAGCAAAATGTTTGATTATGGCAAAATTTTGATTTAAAATTCGTTTTAGTTATAACTCTTCCCTTAATTTACATATCCAGTCCATCTACATTGTTTTAAAATGCATTTGTTCATATTATTATGGTGTATCCTTAACAGAAAAATTGTTGATCAATTGTTTTAAAATGCTACTTGATTTAAATAGGATTTTCTTAGTTGAAATTTTATTTTGTTATATTCTATTTATTAGTAACAGGCGATCAAAAATGAGTTGCTGCCGAGTCGCCTTTGGAAGTTCAAGTTAAATACGATTTTCCATGTAAACAAAAATTCCAAAGGTAGCTCGACAGCAACTCATTTTTGATCGCATAGTATAACTAGTGTATTGTAAAATGCTTATTACTTAAGCAAATTCGAGCATTTTCGTTTTCGCGCACATTCAAGTTTTATTGTTTTATAAACAGTATAATATTTGTTCTGCAAGCAGTCTCATACCTAGAATTATTAATATAAAAATATATTGATGAACACGGAACATAAACATAGCATTTCCGCATTTTATAACCAAATATAAATTTCATTCAAAACAAAAATGTAAACGGGTTAGGAACGAGAATACTAAGTGCCCCTTCACACTGGGCCACTTAGCAGCGGGACAGGATGCAGTGCAGCGATGCTAACAGCGCTGTCTGGAGGCACGTCGCAGCTGTTGCAACCCGCAATACCTTCAGGCAATGTTATTGCATCTACCGATTTCCATCAATTTCTACCGAAATGCCCTTTATATCTACCCAAATGGGGTATACCTAACTAGGCTTTTCAGTTTCAAACTGTACCAATGTTTTAAGATTTTAGTTACATAATCCAAATCGCTTAGACGTCTGATATGCCAGCTGTGCGACGGGATGTTGTTGAATGTTCTCTAGGTTGGTTCTGGCACACTCTGTGTGTAAGTAATTTAGGTACAGACTACACTACATCATTGGCTCATGTTTCATTATATCAGCTTTATTAGTTATTAAGCATTGAAAGCCTATCTTTTAGTCCAGGGAATAGAGGGTTTTAACTTGCAAAATGAGAAGTAGTTCCAATTTCTTTTGCATGTCATAGACAGTCATCTGGTGGTTAAGAATCTAAGTTTTCGACCTCCCACCCCTTGTGCTTCCCCCGTACCACCCCCAAAACCCCTGAAATTTGGTTGGTTTCTTAGTTTTTCAATCATATCTTTTTAATGGTTCACTTTAGAAAAAAATATTGTTATCAGAAATTGTAGACCATAAAATTCTACACTTTGATATACACTACTTTTTTGTGAAATGTTTATTAAAAAAGATATAGAGCTTGAGAGTTGGTTATATTTTTAAGAATTCTGAAATTTCTATGTAGATGTTTTAACCAAATTTCATACTTTATCTCTATAATTAAGAGTTTTATGAGAAAATATCTTGAATTTATCGTGGTATAAATCCCTCTACCCTGCACCCTTACCAAAGGGGATGCATAATAATGAAACTTGCAACCCTTGCTAGTGAGGATATTTGAATCACTGTGAGATTGTAGCGCTTTCTAATATACTTTTGAAATTAAAAAATTATCTCACTTCAGTTCAGTTTCACCCCCTCCCCTCGCGCGGTAGGAATAGATATTTAAACGCTCTTGTGGCGATTGTGAAGTTAGTCAGAGAGTACAACGCTTATTATATATGTTTTCTATTCCTCTTTAAATATCTATTCCTACCGCGGTTGGGGGGAGGGGCGGGGGGATGAAGGATTTGAAGGATGAAGCTGAACTGAAGTGAGATAATTTTTTTGTTTCAAACGTATATTAGAAAACCCTACAATCTCACAGTGATTCAAATATCCCCACTAGCAAGGGTTGAAAGTTGAATTATTATGCATCCCCTTTGGTAAGGGTGCAGCGTAGGGGGATTTATACCACGATAAGTTCAAGATATTTTCTCATAAAACTCTTAATTATAGACATAAAGTATAAAATTTGGTTAAAACATCTACATACAAATTTTAGAATTCTTAAAAATATAAGCAACTCTGAGCTCTATATCGTTTTTAATAAACATTTCTCAAAAAAGTAGTGTATAAAAGTTGTGTAAATTTTATAGTCTACAATTTCTGATAAAAATATTTTTTTGTAAAATGAACCTATAAAAAGATATGATTGAAAAACTAAAAAACCAACCAAATTTCTTTGGTTTTAAGGGTGGTACGGGGGAAGCACAAGGGGTGGGAGGTCGAAAACTTGGATTCTTAACCACCAGATATTCTTTCATGACATGCAAAAAAAATTGGAACTACTTCTCGTTTTGCAGGAAATGGTCCATTTTCAGTCTCTATTTCCTGTACTATTTTGGTTAGATACAATTTTTCTATCAGAAATGCTTCCAACCTTCATGTTGATATTAAAAACTATAAAACATTTGATGAAAAACTTACACAGGATGATTTAGGGGAAACTTCATTTCTAATAAAAACATTTTACCATTTCATTAGTTTGTGAAAAACTGTGAAATGGCGGGCATCATCTGGAATGCAGATTTGCATGTCTCATGCGTTAAGTCTTGCATTGCATGCGACAATAGTAGACGGTTAATGAAATGGACCTCTTCCGTGGGTAATGGTATTTTTCAAAGTGATTAATTTACTGAGTTGGTGCACATTTACGAGTCTTTTAAATACTCCCAATTTGCGTTTTCATATTGAATAATACCATTGTCCATCGCTGTCTGTTTCTTCGTTTTCTACATAAAAAAGTTAAGTAAAACCAGAAGCTCGACCAGAAGTAAAACCCAGTCATTTCTATTTATTAGTTTTACAGTACGCTTCTTAGTTCTTATGGTTATGAATGGTACGCGCTAAAAGAAAATATGCTTTAGTTGAGAAAGAGCAAGTTCTGGGTTCCTGAAAAGGTTATAAGGTTAGTGTACGTCATACCACAACATGTAGTGATACTCTGATTATCTATGTATCTGTTAGTTCCCATGAAGATGAGATAGGTACCGTAAAAGCAAACCGTTTGCAGTAGATACTGCTGTGTAATACTTGTATGCCCAGTTACCTCGTTATTCGTCACTGAAAATAACTTCAAAAGGCCAAAACAACTATATTTTAACATTTCACTGGGCGGTATCATTGACTGTAGTGTTATAAAGGCGTTTGCGTGATTAACAATCTACAGTACAGAGCATGATTGTCGTCAATCATTCTCGGAACTAAAGATCCTAACTTTGTAGTTTAGTCTTTATATTCGTGAGGCCTTGCGTTTTTGCAAGAAAAATATGGCGGAGAATGTGTTACAAATGAAACAATAACAAATCATATTTGTTTTATTGCCCTGATCACAAAATGACTAGATGAAGTAGTCAAACATACCAAATGCTCGTCCGTAAATCGTATACAATAATATGTCCTCTTTCTATTACAAATATTAAAAATACAATCTTTATAGAAAACACATCAGGTATTAACGTTAAAGTGGTAAAAAAGTAATACTCACACAACAAATATATTGTACTTAATACTGCAGGGAACATCCGAGCTATTTAAGTACTTTAACATTATCAAAATGATAATTGGTATATATTTATTTATACAATAATGTATATATATACTTACTTTTTCGCGAGTAGTATAATATCAACTATAAAAATACAAATACTTTACAATACTTAAATACGAAATAGCACCAACTCAATAGGTAAGTATATGAGCATGATTTCAAGAAAACATATGTAAGGAAAACGAAAGCGTAAAATTAGTAAAAATTTTCAAATAACCAAATTTATACGTTTATCTACAATAACGCTTCGACCTCAGGGTTATTAGGCAGGTTACATTAGTCTAAATATTGGAAAACTTTAAATAGTGAGATCTTCCCAGTCCTCTTTCTCTCTCGGAGTTAACGTTATCTGAATTTTAGTTACTGCTGAAAGTGAGTCGTGAGATCTCGGCGTTAATGGATTTTTACAAAGGTCCAGTGTTTGTAAAGCTGGCGCCTCTTCTAACACTTCCACTTCTACATCTAAAAAAAAAGTTTCATTCGCATCGTCCACGAAATATACTAATCGCTTAACTTAATTGGTTACAAGTTACACTATCTCGATTTAGCACTTATTGGTTTCCTAGAGGAAGTGAATTGGTTTTGTTTAAATCTGTTTCCTGCAAACAATTCTATCGCATCGATTTCTGATTTGTATCAAATTATTGCGGAAAAACGAGTAGGCTCATAGAAACAACTACCTACTTACCTATTTTTAAAACCACCGCGCCATTTTGGAGGCATATCAAGCATTGTAACTGAACGGCCAAAGGAAACCTTTAACTTTTAAAGCTGGCAAAAGTTTGCAATTGAAAATGAAACAATTATACTTTTTTTTTCAAATTGTTAGGAAGCAATTAAAGATTCGTGCATGATCGCCTTCCACCTATCAGTAGATGCATTATCCAAATTAATTGAGCATGTTGGAAGACCAGGTGTGTAATAAATCCGAAAATTTGTCACACAAAGAAAGAATTTTGAATTTTATTTGACACCTGCTCTTTTAGTTCAACTCTAATGATGGAACAATTTGTCAACTATGTTAATTGCGTACTTACCAATTATATGATTATTGCAGGCATTGAGATGTTCTAACTTAGGTATTTTAAATATCGCATTTGGTAGAGCTATAAACGTATTGTATGATATATCCAGCCTTTGTAAGTTGCCCATTTCCGCTATTTCGTCTGGAAGTTTTGCCATTTGATTGTGTGCCAAATTCAAGTCGGTAATTAAGCTAAATTTTGCCGCAAATTTTGGAGGTATTTTTGTAATGACATTTTCGCTTAGATCACAGGTTTTTAATTCGGTGTGTCTCATTAGGTGGTATACTGCATCTGGTACTTGCATTAATTGGCAGTTTGATAGATCTGAAATAAAATTAGGATGTAGTACAAAATTTAATGCAAAAAAATGTGTTAGGACAAAAGTGTAAACAAAAAATCGGCACTGTTGCCAACCAAAGGCTATTTTTCGAGATTGGAAGAAAAAAGACAATTAAATATTGAGTTATAAAGATACTAATTAGACAAAATTAAATTTTTCAAAACTGCGAACGTCCTGAATATTTAAGCTTACATATTTTAAAAGAAAATGATTTTTAGGATAAAAAATATGCCTAGCCAACTAATTAGTAAGGGAGCTACAAAGAAGATTCAATGAACATCCAGTGACACACATTAACACCTGCTATTGTGACAATGAAATTACGGAGACATTAATTAAATACTAATTTTACTGTAAATTGGCTGGTTTTTTTCTAATAGACCTCGAATTTTAAAATTTTGCACACAGAATTTTAATAAAAAAATTGCACGACATTCCCATTCAACCTAAATATAGCTTCACCCACTAAATAGGAAACAAAAGGGAAAAGAGTAGGTACGGTTTACAATATGAAATTACTTAATTTCAGAGTTCTTCCATTTTTCAGCGAGAAATACGAGAAAAGGTGTTAATAGAACTTAACCATTCATTAGGCGATGACTAAAGCCAGAATTGACACGACCAATGAAAGATTTTCCTCTTGCTCATGTTTAGGTACTTCAGAATGTACACTATATCATGCAAAAAGAATCGAGCCGACACCCCTACACTCCATTTTCGAGATATTCACATTCAAGTTTTTACATCAGTAGGAAATATAGGTATCTCATCTAGACATACCAATCGTCTCTTGAGGTTACCTTTCTCCGACACTCCGTTCTGCAAATATTTGCAATGAAAGTTTTGACCAGACCAGAACGTGTGTTTAAGTTTTCCTTTGGTACCACTAGAGGTATGCGTATGACGGGATGACGGCCAAATTTGGGCATAATTTATAATTATTTACCAATTTCGTCGGAAAGACGGAAAAATACAATGACTTGATCTATAAGCACTAAATTTTGTGGACTACTCACTTTTTGGTTAAGTTGGTATAAAACAATCTTTATGTAGGTACCTATTCCCCAATTTCATCGGGAAAATTGCAGAACACATTGCACGCAGGTGTTAAATTTTGTGCTTTTCCTGTTATAATAATAATAATAATAATAATAATAGTCGTTTATTGAGTTGCCGTTTACAAGTTTATGATAGTAACTAAAAAATAATTTATGTGACAACCCAAAAGGGCGAAGTTCAGATTGGTACGGCATCCATACCATCTGCTCTCCCACTTAACCCTTTTAAAATAAATTGTTAAATCATTTATGGCAGCTAAGACATATTGGAGAAACACGTAAAAGAACAAAAAACGCCATTAATTTATTGATTCTGCAGTAAAGACTTGTAAAAGAGCCTCTTAAATGACGGTGTGTCACAAGATTTTAAAGCCGGACTGACGGAATTATAAATTTTGCAGATGTTATAACTGAATGAACGTTGCTATAGAGCAGTTTTATGAATCGGTACCGTTAGAATATTCTTTGATCTAATGTTGATACGATGGACATCCGTTCTAAGAGTTACCTACTTTATTAAATAGGTAAGATGGCTTTTGATAAGCAATTAGGCGATGATATACACAAGCAGAATGTAACAACCTTCGATCAGACATGCTTAACCATTTTAATTCTTTTAACTTGTGACTAATGTGATCCCGTCTCCTTAATCCAAAAATTAAGCGAAGACAGGAATTTTGCATGCGCTGAATTCGTTTTATGTCTATTGAGTCCAGACACGGGCCATACACACTGTCGCAATAGTTGAAATGAGATAAAACAAGAGATTCGCAAAGCATGACTTTAATACCATGATTTAAACTGTCTATGATTAAATATCGTTTTCAGATTCATATATGCCTTCCGAAGAAGTTCCGATACATATTTTTTAAAACGAAACTTTGTATCTAATATTACACCAAGGTTTTTGACATGATCAGAGATCGGAAGCACTGTGCCCTTTATTTTGACCTTAATTTAGTAGATGGTCTCATGATGCGCTTTACCTGCGCTAAACAACATTACAGAACATTTATTAGTGTTTATCTTTAGGCCATGGTTTTCGGAAAGTGTTACAAGTTGCTCTAAATCTGCATTAATTTCCGTATTCGCTATGTCAATATTAGTTAAAGGGAATGAATATATTAATTGTGTGTCATCAGCATACATATGGTATGTACAGTATTTTAAACATTTCACTATTTGACTAGAATAAATAACATACAGTAATGGACCTAAAAATACAGTAATCGGACCTAACATACAGTAATGGACCTAATTATACTCTCAGTTCGGTCGATTGGTATGCTCTACTCTAAATACACTACAATAACAGGGTAACCTAAGCAAGACTTTATCAAAATGATTTTTACTTAAATCTCCCTTAAGTTTTTTCCAAATTTGAATGTAAATATGCTTTATCAATAGAGAGTAAAATTCCACCAAAATCTGAACAAAACCTTTGAATATAAAATTTATATTCAAAGACAAAACTAAAGAAGTTAATTAACGTCAAAACGGGTTCCAAATAAATTCCCACCGTGTAATGCGCGAATGGTGTATATGAATATGGTGAATCACTGGTTTCCTATCGAGTAAAGAGCTGTTTACACACAACATTTTGTCGTACGATTTATCTGCGAGAAAACGTTTTGAAAAGAGATTGTTGCTTGAATTGTTTTGCTGTAGAACCGTGGTTGCGGTTCCTGATTCAGTATTTAGGAATGTGTGTTGTGGTCATTTCTTAAAATTTGTTTAAATTAAAAAAGAAATCAAAAACTCTTCAGAACTAATGTCTTCCATTGTATTTAGGATTAAACTACACGAAATGACTGCCAAATCTTACCGAGGGCGACTGAATAGTGTGCGTTACCGTGAACAATTGCCAGTCGGCAACGACCGTCGCCCTGATGGAACCGAATTGACAAGTGTACGACAACCTTAATCGTACTATAAAATGTGTGTAAACGGCGCTTAACTACATGGCTTTACAAACTGGGTTATGTTAACCTGATGTTAACTATTTCATTCTACGAGTAAAATTTCATTACATATATTCACCATGCGATTAGGTAAATTTACCTAAACAGCTATAAGTGTAGTAATTTAGAAATCATTTAATTTCAATCAATGTTGATAAAATTTATACTCTTTTGATGTAAATTGCTAATTAACGGCCGGAAGCTCTCGATTTGCGTACCTATAGGTAAATGAAACTAATTAAAACAATAGAAAAAATTATCGCTTATATACCTTAGTACATATGTAATTTTTAGTTTCACTTTCAATTTAGAAGATCATTACATAACGTTTGATAATTATATTCACATTTCATTAATATTGTAATTAGAGTATAACTAATACAAATTAAAACGTTCAATTTCAGAAAATACTGAAAGAAAAATACCATAAACCATACCAATTTATCAAGTATCCGGCAGATGTTTCCCATTTTAATTAGTTACTTCAAATTTCCATGTTCACTTTCTAAATGCTCATCGTGATGTGTGCGTATTTCCGTATATCGCATCACATTTTTGTTTGAAATAACAATTTTGGGATGTAGCAGATATTTCTAAATTTAAATGGTGCGTGCGCGCTACTTTTGTAATTTGAATTGGTGATAGTATATCTACCTAACTGTAATGATTCTTGGGCAGTTTCGCATCGATGAATTACTTGAGTAACCTGATGAGCCATATTTTGTTGTAGAATCACAATTTTTGTTCACATACGGATTAGAAAAGACTAAAGGGATGATTTTGTGATCCGAATCTAAACTGTGGTTTCTATTTTAATGACGACATAGTGCGCATGTTCTACTACTAGATAGCTAGATCAATTTTAAAAGTAAACTAGGTACCTATACGACGGAGGATCTTGGATTGGGAAAGTTTGATAAGCGAACAATGCAAAGATAAAATGATAAGTCTTTGTATACAAATACGTATTGGAATACCTAAACAAATAATTATTCTGAATCATAAATTGCTGGTAGCCCAAATCCCGAAATTCAGTTCGGTGCAGTACCAAATTACAACAAATATGTAGGTACCTATTAATTAATTATGATGTATTCATAAAAATTAAAATGTTTAATTAATGCGAATGGTTACAATATAATACTCGCTTCCGGGTGAAATTGAAAGTACCTAATACATGAATGAAGCGTTTCGGTGTACCTACTTTCCAAGAGATAGATCTTTAAATCCCCGTTGAAGATAACTTTCATTTTCTGAGTTTCATTAATTCTAACAGTTTTATTTGAGGGTTGTATTGACATCAAGGTGCATGTACACAAAGATCACGGAAATATTAATCACAAGGTTCATATAAAACTCACTTGAACGCACGCTTTTAGACCATAAATAGACTGTGTTTGTTCTTATTTTCTTGGCGTACTGCCGGCCTTTATTCCTTATATGTGTTGTAGTTTAAGGTGAACTTAAATTACACATTTTACATAAAGTTAACAGTGACCCTCACTATCGCTTAATCATCGGACTCACCTAGATTACTGTTTTCCTTTGCATCATTACACCTTCCGACAACCCTAGTCACAGCCCTTCCTGCTAAACTTGTACAGATTATCATCGAAATCATTCTTGGATCGGGCTCTTCGTCATTTTGATTTGTAATATCATTTCCAAATTGCGAGGGTGGTCGCATCTTGCGTTAATTAGAATATATACACTCAAACTAAACCCAACGAACAAAAACAATCGAATGCACCTTTGGTTTCAATTTTGAGCGCGCGAATATCAAATGATTATTTTAAAACATACAATCTTTTTATATCTGCGCTGATTGTTTACCTCCTACTATATACACACGGCGCGCAACTGCAACGCGCGCGGCGTGATCACTTTGAACAACAGCGGAAATTGAATTATTGTTAAGTGATTTACTTTGCAAAACGCATGCACGCGTGCACAAGTCATTAATCTTGTTATGCACAGAGACAGGAAAATTTATACATATTTTTTGAAAATCACTTCTTAAAAGTCTTAGACACATTTCTTCCGTTCGCAAGGTCAAACAAATGACACTCTTTGTTAGAGGTGTATCCCAGGTGAACGTAAGAGCAACGTCCAAACCATCTCAAAATAGGTACCGCAAAAGTTTCGAGAAAATATTGGCGCGGTTATTAGCCGTTTTTCTTTCTTAATATCTAAAAACAGCAGATTCGCTTTGTTCGTTTGGAACGGATAATAACAAATTTACGTATTCGGTTAGCGGTAAGGCCATGTGCAGACGTAAAGTGGTATTTTTAGACCGAGTTTGGATTTTAGCCAAAGTATTCTACGAAAAAGTTTCATTAGGGTCAACTAAACTCTTTCCACCTTTAGACTTAATGCGCATTTTGCAAATGGAATTTCCCTTGATTCGCAAAATACTTTTCTTTGTCCCGTGCTAAAAATGACCGCTTATGATTTTTTGCGAGCGTAATTTGTAAAAATATTTTTACACGTGGTATTAGCATAAACAAACGGTAAATTGTTATAGTAAGTGGACCCATTTAGTTTTCGGAACTGACGACGCATGACAAATTTGTAGTCTCCATTGCGGGTACAATGAGACTCTATGGAATCAGAAGTAAGTAATTTATTTAAAGCAAGGTATTGACCTTTTTTCTAATTTCTTTAAATATCTACCTATTAGGTAATACCCATACGTACGCAGTTCAGCAAATATACAAAAACACGTGTTCTTTTTCTCAAAATTTGTAAACAGTAAAAATTGGTCACAAATGTAGCGGGTACTCTGCAAGTTGGTAGCACTACTAGAAATTGTAAACAAGTTAAAAAGTAATCGTAAACGATTTACATAAAGCGCATTTCCACTTGCATTCATTTCCCATTTGTAAGATGCAACTTCTGTTAAAATCGTAGAAATCCGGCCACAAATATGAAAGATAGCATTGCACATGGGCAATCCATTGTCGACGTGCTACTTCAATTTCAGTTTATGAGAAGAATTTCATTTCAATGCTTTTCTAAATAAGAAAGTTGGAACTGCGCATGCGCAAACCTCAATTTTAAAACTAATGTTAGATTTTCCTTTCTTCCAAGCGCCTAAGTACCAAATTTCACTTAAATAGTTCCATAGATAAAAAAGTTGGCACGGCGCATGCGCAAAATAAAATTTTGAAACTGGCGCTAGATTTTCCTTTATTCCAAGTGCCTATGTATCACATTTCATTTAAATTCTTCCATAAATAAAAAGTTGGCACTGCGCATGCGCAAAACCAAATTTTGAAATTGGCGTTTGATTTTCCTTTATACCAAGTGCCTATGTATCAAATTTCGTTTAAATTCTTCCATAAATAAAAAAGTTGGCACTGCGCATAACCAAATTTTGAAATTGGCGTTTGATTTTCTTTTATCCCAAGTGCCTATGTATCAAATTTCGTTTAAATTCTTCCATAAATAAAAAAGTTGGCACTGCGGATGCGCAAAACCAAATTTTGAAATTGGCGTTTGATTTTCCTTTATTCGAAGTGCTTCTGTATCAAATTTCGTTTAAATTCTTCCATAAATAAAAAACTTGGCACTGCGCATGCGCAAAACCAAATTTTGAAATTGGCTTTTGATTTTCTTTTATCCCAAGTGCCTATGTATCAAATTTCGTTTAAATTCTTCCATAAATAAAAAAGTTGGCACTGCGCATGCGCAAAACCAAATTTTGAAATTGGCGTTTAATTTTCCTTTATTCCAAGTGCCTATGTATCAAATTTCATTCAAATACTTTTATAAGTAAAAAAGTTTGCAATTCGGTTTATAAATGGTCGAGATGCGAAAAAGGGCACTGTGAATTTTGAATCGATTCGATTCAACTTTTGGCATTGCGTATTATATGGTTAAAGCTATGCCCATATTGAATTTCATGCAATTCAGTTCATAACTAACGGAGATGTAAAAGCGATCGAACATTTCTAAACAAAGTTATCGTTCACACGGACAGATAGATGGACAGACAAAGGA